GTACTGGTTGTCTCGCTCTGTTAAACGTGAGACTCTATGGTCGATTATTACTGTATTATTAACGACAAATGTGATACTGTTTGTGTTGACGTCAACGACGTCATTTGAAGACTACATCAACGACTACCAAGAGTAAGTGTTATAACGTAGTTAGTAATTAACACATGCATGTTGAATAAAATGTTATTTGAATAACCTTAAACTGTTTTATTATATATTTTTTTCATTTTGCATATTAAATGACTAACTAAACACCATCTGACTAAAATAAACATTGGCATTATAATCAAGGAATTTCGGTAATCATACATCAATATATATATATATATATATATATATATAGATAGATATATATAGATATATATAGATAGATAGATAGGAGAAGGATTTTAACATTGATGTATGATTACCGAAATTCCTTGATTATAATTAATGATTATAATATATATATTCTTGTCAACCAAACTCTGTTCATCATCCGTGTGCGAGTCTGAAGTCTGAAAGCGCACGTAAAATCCCGATTTCTCTCCTCTCTCTTTCTCTCTCTCGCTCTCCCTCTCCCCCCCCCCTCTCTCTCTCTCTCTCTCTCTCTCTCTCTCTCTCTCTCTCTCTCTCTCTTAATTTTATTTATTTGTGTTTCTATAACCATGTATTTGTAGAAAGTATAAACCTGTTGAAAGAGAAAAGAAGCTGCCTGAACAACAGCTTATTAAACCTGAGGATAACGACAATGAGTACAACTTTAACTACCAGCACAGAGGGTTAGCGGTCATCATCAACAATGAAGAATGTACAAATGCAGACAACAGAGACGGATCAGAAAAGGATGTCGAGCATTTGGAGGCGATCTTCAGAAATCTGGACTTCGACGTTAAAACAAAGAAGAATCTTACAAGCGTCGAAATGGAGGTATTTCTACAAGAGGGTGAGTGGGACGATGCTTATAGTGGGTACTGAGCGGTCAATCAAAGGTTTCTTCTGCACGGCAATTTTAATCAATAAAGGAATCAATTTTATTTCGTAATTCAGGTCACATGGCCCATAGTACAGTTGTAAGATGAATCATCTTTAGGTCATTGTCCAGAGTGTTACGGGGGCACGGGTGGCCCAGTCGTCTAAGGCGCCGCGATTCGCTGTGCAGAGTTGCGTCCCTTGGGCACGCCAGAAACCTATGATTGTGGGTTCGAATCCCGGTTCGCCACGATTATGTTTCTAGGTTTGTCAGCACCATACCCGTACTCGTTGGTTTCACCGAAGGGGTAAACGTCTGAGACCTGCATCACTTCCGGCTTTCCTCCAACGCGATATAACTGGAATACTGTTACAAGCGGCGTTAAACCCAACTCACTCACTCACTCTAAGCCATTGTTGCTTAACTCATAACATATGGGTCTTGAAATGATTTAGAAAAGAACGCACGGCTAGGTGAACTAGGTGAACTAACCTGTATAAAGGAAACCTTGGGTTTGCCTGCCAGAATCATGTTCCGTTCAAATGGATCTACAAGGACTTTGATTTGTACTGGTTTGTCGGTGCCATAGACCAGCCCCTTCTCGCAAGACAGCATGACACAAGCGAAGCAGTCATCGGAAGAAAAATCAGACTCTGTCTCTGTGATAGATAAAACAGTTCATATGAAAACATAACATAAGACATAGGATCCTATCGGGTTAATGTTTCATACCTATCTGCGACTTCTCTTTCTGTGAGTTGACTTTAATAGGACCTGCCATGTATAGACAAGGCTGTCCATGGGATATAAAGTTGTTCAAGTGGAGAATACATATATAATTATATAACATAAATTCTTTATTCATCCAATTTCTTTCCTCTTTGTGGATATGAATAAGACACGTGTTGGCGAAAAAACGTCTGTCACGAGGAGAGTTAATCTTTATAGTAAAGCAGTAACTACAATCAGACCATTAGATCACACATTGTTAAGTTAACAGGCAAAAGTTGATAACAAGTTACAACCCTTCTTTGAGAGGCATTTAGAAGTAAGAGTACTAATTAGGATAAGATTTATGGACGAACAACTTCTTTATTACAATTAGGAGTGACGTTTCGGTGTAGGTTCTAACACTTGCTTGATAACGATGTTACACCGAAACGTCGCTCCTATTTTTAAAAAAGAAGTTGTTCATCCATAAAAAAGTTGTTCATCCATAAATCGTATCCTTACTTAGTTACAACACAACTACCTTCAGTCATGATGTTTGCCATCTCTGCTGCTGTCTGGTTGTCGTGCCTCTTCACTTCAACACCAAGACGTGTGAGACGTTCACATATATTTGAAGCGTCCACATCAGTTCCAGTTCCAGAACAAAAATCTTGTTGTTCAGAATGATTGCACGGCCACGTTTATCGCTGTTCATCATGTATTTGAATTCAGTGAATTATTGCTCTGTGTAAACTTGAACTGGGCCCAAAGCCTTTCCTCTAGCAGAAGGAAAAAGAAAGTTTCCAATCTTCTCATGAGTACAGGTCAATTTTTTGCATGGCTCTCAGTTCGGCTCGTTAATTAGACTATATTCTTTAATATACTATACTCAGTTCACAACAAGATCAATACTTACGATGTATGGTGGAGTATCATTGAACCTTTTAACGCATAGAATATCACACATGTGCCTATGAACTAATCTATCATTTTTGTAGATAGATCATGGAATCTTATATGATGTGATATAAAGCGTCAGAGATCAACCAGTGGTGACTGGGCTTCCATTGGGCGCAAGGAACTCAAGCATGTAGTAGCGAATTGACTATTCTTCTACAGGTCAGCACATTGCTCAATCGAAATATGGGTGACTTAAAGAAATATCTTTATTCAATTCTAATCTTACATGTTCATGTAAAAGTAAATGTAATATGTAATAAGTGAGAATAATTAATGCTCAAAAGAGATATATATATTAACCAGACAGTTCATTTGCCAAATTGTCCCATTTTCTATTTCACAGTCATAGTATTGATGGTGTGTGCAATTGATTTCTCTATTTGATTTGATTAAAGTCTTCTTGAAGTTTACAAATGACAATTTGTATTTTCTGAATACTTCATACATGTATGTATGTTTGGTATTAACATATTTGCAATCCCAATACACGTGAAGTAAAGATTCAGTATTAGTTTCACAGAATGAACATAGATCATTACAACAGTTCTGGCTTCGAAAAGATGATGCTTTGAACATATGAAAAAAATTGAACTGGAACTCAAGTAAATGTACATGTTCTGTATTCCATTTATCACATATTGTTTGGGACACTTACTTTAGTTATAATCAAAAAACAATCTGGAGCCTTTAGGCTACAAGTAAGACTATCAAAAGTGTATTCTAATGTTGATTATACAACATAATGTGATTTTTTCTCTGATAACATCTTTCCATATTGATAGAACCTGGTAGTAGTCAATGATTGTTCTTTTAATGTGCTATTTTCTTTTAAGTTCGTTCAAGGACACTATGACATTTTCATTGACTGAACGTAAATTAAATTGTTATTTCACTCGAGGATGTTATATTTGTTGAAATAAATTCAATATTCAATCACTAAATACATAATAAATACTGGTATTCCTATTCTGGGAACAGTATTAGCTATGACTGCTTTTAACATCTCGATGTACGCTTGGTGTCAGAAGCGTTTAACTACACAGTGCGTGTAGTCAGCATTAACCAGCGTAGTCCTCACTTCCTTCCTACCGACGACTACACCCAACTGGTGTCTCATTCTTCTGAAGGAGTTGTTGTACTTACAGTCACCCATGGTCAACGAGAAGAAACTGTCTACGAAACTGTTCACTGAATATCACCCGGTTACGTGACAGCTGTGTTCCCTCACGCTGTCTCTTACATGTAGTGAACGTTTGCCGTCACTCAACCAACTGAATAGGGAGCTGGCTGAAAAGACATGCAGTCTTGTATGGCGTTGTCGCGTTTGTATGTAACGCTGTGAGAAGGGCTTGTTATAACTATATGATTGTTTGTTTGTTTGTTTGTTTGTTGTTTAACGCCCCACTCACCAATATTCCAGCTATATGACGGCGGTGTGTAAATAATCGAGTATGGACCAGACAATCCAGTGATTGACATCATGAGCATCGATCTTCGCAATTGGGATACGATGACATTCATTAACCAAGTCGGCGAGCCTGACCACCCGATCCCATTAGTCGCCTCTTACGACAAGCATAGTCGCTTTTTACGGCAAGCATGGGTTGCTGAAGACCTATTCTACCCCGGATCTTATTCCTGTAACAACTTTTAGCGAAATGGAAGAAGGGTACATGTGGACGATAAAACCATTTCCATAAGCATAAGAGATCCCGACCCAAACCAGTGTCCGTTGGACGAATCCGGGTATATCATAAGCATATATCCCCCAAACTGCACAGGATGACAACAGCACACCAGTGAGTGCTGCAGTTTTAAATAGAGCCAGCCTCAGTCTAATATATACTTACCGAAAGCTACATATGACAAGAGTATTACGTGTCGTAAAGTGTACAGTGACAAAAAGGATAACTGACTACCATTAGTCGCCACAGTATGGTACATAAGGAAAACTGGCACAAATTCTTAACAGAGAATTTATGGATGCCAACTTTTTTATTATGGGGAACTCAACGTTTTGGAGTATATGGTTGTGTTCCTCATAATAAAGAAGTTGACATCAATAACTTTTCTTCCTTATGTGTATCACTTCTAAATGCCTTTCAAAGATTTAATGTTTAGCTGGTATTTATAACAACATATTTCTTTAATATCTCCAAGGATAAATATTGCCCAGAACTAGAAATCTAGATGTTGATGTAGATGTTCTTTCACTGCAGACTGGGGAAGGGAGATTTTAGCAGTATTCTAGTAATAATACAATGTCCTTAGTGTATGAATGAAAGCTTTACAATAATAAACACTGGATCAAATGGATCAATGTATTCATCATTCTTTGTTGTTTTGTTGTGTCTTTTTGAGAAGAAAAAGTTAATACTTAAGATGCAACGAATTTTATTACCAAAAACATAAACTTTAATTCAATAAAACATAATTCGAATTGGTTTATAGCTAAATTGAATTGAATTGAACAAATGATGCATAACTGATATTGTGAACAAACAACAATTTCTGAAAATGAAATCATCTTGGCGTCCATCTTGGATTTTCGTCACCACCTATGGTCTCTGCATACTAGATGTGAATATAGCATTGTTGCAATTAATCCCGAAGACAGTACTAAGACAGACCAGATAGTTATGATATATTGAGTAAAGTTTGACATTATTAGTGATTTCAGCCTTGTTGACGGCCATCTTTGATTTTCTAACACCAGGGGTTGTTGTTGAGCTGGCACCATATTAAGAAATGGTCGGTATGTAGTACATTGTATGAGCTTGCCAAGTTTGGTGCCTTTAACTCGAAGTGCACAATGTTTGCCTTAATTGCCCAACTTTTTCAACATGGCCCTCTGTTCTTCGTGTAAGGGACGGAACTCCGCACCGTGAATTTCGCGGAGTTACAAGACCGACACCACACATGGTTGAGTTCTAAAAAGCGAATCTTTCTACTATGTTAATAGAACTTGACCACTTTTATAAAAGGATTATTATATGCATTCACGTTTAATGATTCAAAACAGCAGCAAATAACCATCCATTTGTCTAGGTATATTTTCAAATGGTGTTGGCATTTTCATACCATATCATATCAACAAGAAAATATTGATGCAGAACTCCAAGTGTAACCAAGTATAGCGACAGCTTGGTTTAATAAGGGTTTTCATAGTTTAAAAGAGTTATGTAGCAACAACAGATTTTTAACAAGTGAAGAATTACAAGACAAATTTCAAATTAAAGGTACTTTACTTGACTACAACTGAGTAATGCAAAATATCCCTAAATCATGGAAAAAGCAATAAATGGCAGATATTGTCTCACAGCTAATTTATACATAAATAACGTTTTGAGAGACTTGTTGACAAGAACAAAGAGCTCCAGAATATTATATGATAAACTCAAAGCTACAAATAACTTTCCTCTGATGTGTGATAAATGGGAAAATGAACTTATTCAAAGCATTTTATGAATAACACCTTCACTATTTGTAAAATGTGTACCAAGGAGCCAATAGATTTCCTGTACATATTCATAAATAGAGCTTTATATACCAAAAAAGGAATGATTGAAAATGAAGTTAATGGATGATGATATATGTTCTGGCATCTGAAAACGTATACCATTTATATGTAGAATGCGTTTTTGTATAGAAATTTTGGTTAGAATTTGAAGTGTACCTTAACTCAAAATTTGCACATGGTATTCATATTAGCATTCCACATAAATTATGTTGCTACAACAAAAACCGCTATGTTTTCAACCATATAGTTCTTCTTGCAAAATAATACATTCACCGGTCAAACATTAAGAAAACTCCAATATGCTTTCCTTTCTTCATAAAAATATTGAAAGATGTATTTAAAATAGAAGAAAAAATACCGATGGAAAAAAGTAGTATTATTAAATACGACAGAAAATGGAATGAATTATCAGCCAACTTAATATATTTTATCCAATATATGTATATACCCATATCTGTACCAAGGTTTCATTTATGTCTGCTGAATTGAAATAAAAATATTAAAAAGAAAAAAAAGTATAGTGACTCATTGTATGACGGTAAGAAGTTGTCCATTTGCGCTGTTGCTGACACTATTGATACTCCATGTATCCTTGATGGTATTCTGCCTCCACAGCTGAGGTTGATGGCCTGACAATGTCTATCCAGTAATACTGGCAAAACCATCGTTACTCTTCCTCATCTCGTCTTATTGACTGGAAAAACATACGTCTTTTGTCAGCATGGACGTTATACACGCTATCTGTTTTTTCCTCTTAATGAATTCATTTTTTTTATTCAACTCGAAGTCGTAAGCCACTTGTCTGTTGACACGGATCATCATTGTCATGAGGTCAAGTGAGGTTCCGAATTTTCCTAAAACATCAGACAGAGCCCTGATGAACCACGATCCGTTTTCCACACTGCCTTGCCAGGAGAAGTACCCTGAAAGGTAACATCAGCAAACCCAGTTAAGAACATGTACTTGCATGTTACATGCTCATGATACATTGAGTTTATACCACATGTCATCCCTTCTGTGAAGTGGGAGTCACAAATTAGTATCACATACTCTATGCAGCAAAACATCCTGAATGATAGAGTGTACACGCTAAACACATTGCAGTACATAAAGACAGGAAGTCATAAAACATTTATGAGTAACAACTTTAATATTTGTATTTCAGGGCTACGTCTTGCCCTTTTCAGGTGGTGAATATTGAGGAAGCGTATTGAGTTCATATGTATATGTAAGGGACAAGAAGCAGCACATGATATAGTATGATATTCGTGTCTTCTAATAGAAGAATGCTTTTAAATATAGACCTATTCTACCCCTTTTCTTCATGGGTCTCATTAACTATAAACGCTACACGTATCAATCCACCAACCAATATGTGCAATTAGTCAGATATCAAAAAGTGATGACACTATCACACTTTTCATGTTCCTCTACAAGCAGGTCACCTGGGATAACGGAGTATGCAATGAAGAAGTCAGCCTCTGCGGGGATCCTGTACGTCTCAGGTATCAACTCTTCATCATCACCACCATCTGCCGTCACACCCATTGCATCACTCACGTCCTCGCCTCCTTCGGGCTCTTCTTGGTTGCAAGCCTGAAGAGGAATATACGTCGTACGTCAAGATGTCAGAGAGAACAGTTTGCGACTTGAAGAAACTTATCTGTAACTGTAACACACGGCTATCAGGTAGACTGGCATCACCTCATTCTGCAGCTTATTACTTTACAAAGGATTAACAATTTAGCTGTCCATGCTTTATCATATCAAAGCTCCTTCTAAAATAAGTAAGGTTATGGATGAACAACTTCTTTTGGTTGACAAGGATATATATATATATATATATATATATATATATATATATATATATATATATATATATATATATATATATATTATATATATATATATTATATATATATATATATATATATATACTCTTCAAAAAAAGAAACTTGACATAGATGTTAAACCACTTTTTGCCAAATATCTAAAATAATTACATTAAATGAGAACCAAATAAGTCAAACAGAAAGATGATGTGTCTATAATTCGCGAAAACACATGCAAAGCACATAAACGTAGCGTTTGGGGATCAATTTTACAGCTTCATCCAAACGCAACCGCCTGTAAAAAACGTGCAGCACAGGATCCTGCATTTAGGCGTGCAGGCCCCCCTGCTGAATGGGTATAAAAATCCTCACCAACGGCTGTTCATACAGTCCTTATAACGGCAGTAGAGGCGGTGACAGAATGCCAAGACTGAATGCAGCTCAACGGAACAACGCCATTGGGAGATTACAAGCTGGAGCAACTCAGCAAGAAGAGACCAGGCACTTTGGCGTATCCAGACAGACAATCTTGGGTGACAACCCAAGCACAAGATCGATACATCCGGCTGCGACACCTCCGACAACCACACAGATCCCTGGGGTACGCAGAATATCAGATCAAAGGGTACGCAACAGACTGAGGGAGGCTAGACTTTTTGCACGAAGACCTGTTCGACGTCATGTATTGACCCAACGTCATCTGGCGGACCGTCTGCTTTGGTGCCAACAGAGCGTTAGATGGGCACGTGCAAGGTGGAGAAAGATACTGTTTACTGACGAGTCCCGTTTCCTACTCACACGTGCTGATGGGCGTGCACGTGTCTACAGACGTCGGGGTGAACGTTACGCCCCCAACTGTGTGCAGCAGGTTGTCCCATTTGGCGGCGGGAGTGTCATGGTATGGGCCGGAATCCATCACGGTGGTAGGACGCCTCTCGTGCATGTGGCATGTGCATTGACAAGTGTGCGTTACAGATACTTGATCCTACAGCCTTACGTTCTTCCTCACGTCAACGTTCATGGCGGACAGTTCGAGCAGGACAACGCTCGACCACATATTGCACGTGTTTGTCAAGACTTCTTACAGCACAACAACGTCCAGACATTACCTTGGCCAGCCCGGTCACCAGATTTGTCCCTGATTGAGCATCTGTGGGACGAGTTGGATCGACGCGATATATATATATATATATAGAGTAGAGTAGAACAGTAGAGTAGATCTTGTGAACATAACTAACTCCAGTGTAACTACACCTTAATCTATTCTACTGTATAAACTCCTTCTCCTACCTGTATATATATAAATATATCCTTGTCAACCAAACTCTGTTCACCATCCGTGTGCGAAATACGCACAAAGTCGGAAAGTGCACGTAAAATCTCTCTCTCTCTCTCTCTCTCTCTCTCTCTCTCTCTCTCTCTCTCTCTCTCTCTCTCTCTCTCTCTCTCTCTCTCTCTCTCTCTCTCTCTCTCTCTCTCTCTCCTGGTTGTAATAAAGAAGATGTTCATCCATATATTTTATCCTTACTTAGTACTCCAACTTCTAATTGCATCTCAACGAAGTCCTTCTATAATGTCTAGATATTAAGACACTGGACAATTACATGAGAACACTTTGTTTCTTTTTGTATCAAAACGCGCGAAGAAACCACACGAACAGACACATTTAATATTAACTAACCTGTATAAAGAATAGCTTGGGTTTGCCTGCCAGAGAGTTGTTCTGTTTAAATGGATCTACAAAGTGTTCGACCTGTACTGGTTCGTCTGTCCCATAGACCAGCCCCTCCTCACCGTACGACAGGATGACACAAGCGAAGCAGTCATAGTCAGAGAAATCAGATTTTGCCGCTGGGATAGACAAAACAGTTAATATGAAAAGATAACATAAGACATAGGGTTCTGTCAGATGAATATTTCATGTCAATCTGCACTTTTCTTTGAGAGACTGCGGGATGGATGAAGCGGTTTTACTCATGACATAGGACAACGAGTATGTAACATTAACGTGCTATGCCTATCTGTACTTACTTTGAGAGACTGCAGGCATGAATAAAGCGGTTTAAGGACCACATCACAAAGTGCAAAGAGTATGTCACATTAACGTCTTATGCCTATCTGCAATTTACATTGAGTGAGTGTGAGTGAGTGAGTTTGGTTTAAGGCCCCTTATAGTGAGTGAGTGAGTGAGTTTGGTTTTACGCCGCTTTTAGCAATATTCCAGCAATATCACGGCGGGAGACACCAGAAATGGGCTTCACACATTGTACCCATGTCGAGATTCGAACCCGGGTCTTTGGCGTGACGAGCGAACGCTTTAACCACTAGGCTACCCGACCGCCCCAAGGCCCCAAGGCCCCTTATAACAGTATTCCATGTGGCGTGTCAGCTTCATGTGGGAGGAAAGCCTGAAGTGATGCAGGTCTCAGACGTTTACCACTTCGGTGAAACCCACGAGCACGGGTATGGTGCTGACAAACCTAGAAACATAATCGGGGCGACCCGGGATTCGAACCCACAATCATAGGTTTCTGGCGTGCCCAGGGGACGCAACTCTGCACAGCGAATCGCGGCGCCTTAGACGACTGGGCCACTCGTGCCCCCACTTTACATTGAGAGACTGCTGGGATGGATATATACGAACACATGGCATAGGGCAAAGATTCTGTATCATTAAAGTCGTACGTCTATCTGCACTGGATAAAGCGTATTACAAGAACACAAAGAATAAGACAATGTTTTATGTCTGTTTTCAGTTTTTATATTTGACTTAGTGATTAACCAAGAGACCCGGCATGTATAGATAATGGGATATGTTTTGATTAACATTGTCTGGCGATTTGATCTGCAAATGCATATCAAAGAAGTTGCTACAATCGGGCCATTTAGTTACCATTTACAAGTAGACTAATAGATACATATGAGATGAAAAGGATACAATGGAATTACCTTCATCTATAAGTGATTGCATCTCAAAACTTGTCTTGTCCTGGTGAATCTTTACTTTAAAACCAAGCTCCCTGAAACGTTGGTTTATGTTTTCAGCGTCTTTATCAGTTCCAGTTCTAGATGTCTTGTCTTTAAACGTTTTGTTGTTGAAGATAATTGCAAGGCCGGGAGACCCGTCCATCTTGTATTTTGTGTCCATGAATTCTTTTTTTGTATAAATTGGGACGTTTCCATATTTGCCATCCCCAACACCGCTACAAGATATAACAAGTGTTTTATATAGGGAGGGGATATTTGTCTGATTGATTTTTGAAGAAAAATGAAATTTACCGTATTTCATCACAAGATCAATCACATATACTAGTATATTTATACATATGTTTTGGAATGTCATAAGAAAATGAATTGTTGGAGAAAAATACATAAAAAAAGCATATTTAACTTCATGAGATAGTATATTTCCGAAGATTATTACGTAGAAACCGAAACCAAAGTAGCTTATATCAACAGGCATATATATATGTGTGTACACAACTTGGATGTTATTATTAAATGCATACAATTTATTAGCTTCTACAGATTCCATTGGTTACATGTGTCACTACTATTATGAAACTCATGTGTTGCTGACAAACCTATTATCATAATCAGTTCGTATCTGGGTTTCGAGTGAGTGAGTGAATATGGCTTTACGCCGCTTTTAGCAATATTCCAGCAATATCACGGCGGGGGATACCAGAAATTGGCTTCACACATTGTACCTATGTCGGGAATCGAACCCGGGTCTTTGGGGTGAGGAGCGAACGCTTTAACCACTAGGCTACCCGACAGCCCCCTGGGTTTCGAACCCCCAATATTGAACGTCAAAGGGACATAACATCCACAGCGAATTGGTGCGCCTTACAATACGTGGTCAGCCGTGTCCCCTTCGGGGGTCATCAGTAAAGTGTAGTTGTGACTAACAACTTGTGTGTTGAAATTGCAATGAATTATCCTCGAGCAAAACCAAACAGGGAAATTAACCTTTGAGTGAGTGGGTGAGTTGGGTTTAACGCCGCTTTAACAGTATTCCAGTTATATCACGGCGTGTCAGCTTAATGTGGGAGGAAAGCCCGAAGTGATGCAGGTCTAAGACGTTTACCACTTCGACAAACCTAGAAACATAATCGGGGCGAACCGGGATTCGAACCCTCAATCATAGGTTTCTGGCGTGCCCAAGGGACGCAACTCTGCTCTGCGAATCGCGGCGCCTTAGACGACTGGGCCACCCGTGCCCCCAATTAACCTTTGAAAAACACCTTCGAAATGGCATCAGGAGATTCTGTTGTGGACGGTTCCATTGATAACGTCTTACTGTTAAGATCGATCTTGTACAACTTCATGTTATTGTCATATACAAGTCTGAGGGGTATTCATGTTAAACTGCGGCATGGTATCTCAGTGTGCTAGCACTATAAATCGGCATCAGTCCGGACTAGTACAAGCAGCCACACACACACACACACACACACACACACACACACACACACACACACACACACACACACACACACACACACACACACACACACACACACACACACACACACGTGCATGCACGTCGCTATATAAGTGCAATAATCTTGGACGCGACGTTAAACCCAATTTCACCTCACCTCACCTTGTCGTCATGATGGAGTGGAGATAAACCTACTGTGTTTTGAAATTTGAGACAATAGGTAGATGGGTCTCCTTGTTAACAAAATGCAAATGTCTTACCCCGTATCTGGCTCCGACCCAGCATCTACAACTGAAAGATGACACAAATATTGTTAATGTCGTTTCACATCCTAGCTATTCATTCATTGCTATAATACCAATGTCAATGGGCTACAGGTACAATACCTGAGACCATGGGACCTACTTCCAATGTCGTTTGACAGAGTGGCACTAGTTACACAGTCTACACTGAAGAAACCTATAACAGACTTCTATTTTTTTAAAACGTTTTTATTGTTCCCAGAGTTGTAGATTAATACAGTATCTTTAACAGACTTCATAAAATGTATTAATCGAACTTAACGAGTAGTTCGGGTGATACGCTGACTTTCTTTGCTAGACGGACACCTTTTAAAATGTCGGCACTTATTAGTGTTACATATAGTTTTGATACACGCATTGATTTTCATGTAATGCTAGGTTGTCAAAAGAATAACAGCTAATTCCTAATGATATTGTCCAAGCCTAATACATTTTTACCAACATTATCTTAATACCAGCCAGAATGGAAAACGTTACATGCAATGTATTTTCAAGAAAACATTAATGTTTCAAAACGTAATTTATTTTTATCACAAACTATATTGTTAAGCTCCATATCCTGCTTTTGATGCAGGTAGCTGCTTATTCTTGCATGGTATCCCCGTGAGATAGCATATTCATTTTATTGGAGTGAGTGAGTGAGTATAGTTTTACGCCGCTTTTAGCAATATTCCAGCAATAGACACCAGAATAGGCTTCACACATTGTAACCATGTGGGGAATCGAACCCGGGTCTTTCGCGTGACGAGCGAACGCATTAACCACTAGGCTATCCCACCGCACCTCATATAATGTAAGCAGTTTCAATTTCGATCGTTAGTGCGGACCAAGCTAATTCGGAAATAAAAGCGACAAAATGTATTCTATGATCATATCAAATCAGCCATTAGCATAAGAGGTGAGGTGAAATTGGGTTTAACGTCGCGTCCAAGATTATTGTACTTATATAGCGACGTGCATGCACGTGTGTGTGTGTGTGTGTGTGTGTGTGTGTGTGTGTGTGTGTGTGTGTGTGTGTGTGTGTGTGTGTGTGTGTGTGCGTGTGTGTGTGGCTGCTTGTTCTAGTAAGAACTGATGTCGATTTATAGCACTAGCCCACTGAGATACCATGCCGCAGTTTTAACATGGATACCCCACTCAGACACCGTATACTGACTCCGTGCCGACCAGTCCTTGTTTTAGCCCCTTAATGCCGAGCGCCAGACAGGGTAACAACAAGTATCAACTTTTAACGTCTTTTGGTATGACGCGGCCGGGGATCGCACCCCGGACCTTCCGCTCTCCGGGCGGACGCTCTACCACTAGACCACGGAGGCGGCCTTCTAGCATAAGAAGCCGGGAACCTCTAATTATACCCCGGAATCCACAAGTGTACAATTAGACACTGAGTCAGGTCATTTAGGAGCACAAATAGAAATGTCACCGAAGTTTTTTAATTTGATATGCTCTTCCTAAACCTGATTAATACTGCATGTAATCCAACGATTTCAACTGCAGAACTGACAATCCACAACTACCTGATAATATTGCCTCGCTGTGAGCAGAAACCGAAGGCGTGTTCAGGAGGGCGGACGCTCGCGATATTACGCGAGTGCGCGCTGTTGAACACGCCTCAGTATTAGCGTTTGCCGAAAGGATATGAGAAATCGTTTTAATACTTACTGTCAGCCATGCTCGACGAGAATAAGCAGACACCTGGCGTAGTGTGTCCTAAATTGTTATCCCAGCCTTGGTGTTTATATCTTGAACATTTGTATTTCCCTGGGAAGCAGTCGCGATCTGTAAAACGATCCCGGATACTATGCGTCACTATTGTATGGATCCCAATGCACAGGGACCGCCCGCCAGTGACAGAAACTGAATAGAAGGCGGTTGAACTGTAGCTCGCTGATCTTTCAATATGGCGTCTAGAGAAAATTGCATATGAGGTGTTGTAACAGTAAAAAATATGAAATATCGTACAAGCTTCGATGTTTTTATACGCATTATATCTTTATTACATTGGAATACAAACATGACTGTGAAATATCGGAAACTTCGTGCGGGTTATACGTTGGTAGGGTTTCTGTGTAATTAATACATCTACTGGGTGTAGGGTTGCTACAATGACATACAGTAAGTTTCCTGACCTCCGTACCCAGTTGGTTTTGCACAAACAGGATCCTGTAAGAGCTTCGGTAAAGCAAGTCAGACAATTCGCGTCAACTCGCGTCAGACAATTAAACTTGAAAACAGTATTATTCTCTCAACAACGGAGCATTCTGTACGTTATGTACTTCACGAATGAAAACTGGGTTGCCTGATATATCGAGAGAATAAAATATGTTTTATGACAGCTTAAAGGTTACCCGCTGTACTTCGTAGAGAAGTAGATTTTGAATACTATAAACCAGTTCGTCTCAGGATTCTGGGCCCACTTGCACAAAGCGATGTCAGCGCTAAGATGACCTTAACTCCCATACATTAACATAGGCTTACGATAGTCTTAGCGCTAAGATCGTTTTGTGCAAGTGGGCCCTGATCCCAGATTCGCATCAATGATAACACGTTGTCTGTCAGTCTCTGTAGGTTTTCACCAAATGATACACCTGCACTTTGACATTTACCACTATGGTATGGTGAAAAAGGCATGATCATGTGAGCGGTATATGCATTCATCCCTTTTTCTATCGTAAAATGATCATCCTTATTGCATCTTGCTACACATATGAGTATCCGTAAGTTTATTTAGATCTTCTTGTAACAACAACAATCATCATCATCATCATGATAATAATAATAATAATAATAATAATAATAATAATAATAATAATAATAATAATAATAATAATAATAAATGAAAGAAATATCAGGTTGAAACTATCGAGTGCCACAAAAAAAGTACGAACACTCTTAAATGTGTCTTCAATCAGAGTGTACACATGCATGACAGGTCCGTTAAGATCCAGGGTAAAATGGGTCTTCAGCAACCCATGCTTGTCGTAAAAGGCGACTATGTTTGTCGTAAGAGGCGACTAACGAGATCGGGTGGTCAGGCTCGCTAACTTGGCTGATGCATCGTATCCCAATTGCGTGGATCGATGCTCATGATGTCAATCACAGTATTGTCTGGTCCAGACTCGATTATTTACAGACCGCAGTCATAAAGCTGCAATATTGGTGAGTGCGGCGTTAAACAACAAACAAACACAAGGCTTGGAGTGAAAAGGAAATGCATACCGAAACAGGTATTTATCTACTAACAACTCAATACGCAGCTATATAATGCAAATTAGGACACGCTCTGGCTATGGTGTCTTACGAATGCTTTGCCACCTAACTCCCAGGTATTTCAAGGAAAGGACCTTCCCACTCCCAGCCATTTCCAGGAAAGACCTTCCCGATACCAGCTATTTCTCGGAAAAGACCTTCCTGCTCCAAACCATTTCTAGGAAAGACCTTCCCGCTCCCAGTTATTTCTAGGTAAAGACCTTCCCCTCCCAGCTTTTCTAGGAAAGACCTTCCCGCTCACAGCTATTTCTTGAAAAGACCTTCCCGCTCCCAGCTATTTCTTGAAAAGACCTTCCCCCTCCCAGCTATTTCTAGGAAAAGACCTCCCCCCTCCAAGCTATTTCTGGGAAAAGACCTTCCCGCTCCCAGCTATTTCTTGAAAAGACCTTCCCGCTCCCAGCTATTTCTAGGAAAAGACCTCCCCCCTCCAAGCTATTTCTGGGAAAAGACCTTCCCGCTCCCAGCTATTTCTTGAAAAGACCTTCCCCCTCCCAGCTATTTCTAGGAAAAGACCTCCCCCCTCCAAGCTATTTCTTGGAAAAGACCTCCCCCCTCCAAGCTATTTCTGGGAAAAGACCTTCCCCCTCCCAGCTATTTCTTGAAAAGACCTTCCCGCTCCCAGCTATTTCTTGAAAAGACCTTCCCCCTCCCAGCTATTTCTAGGAAAAGACCTTCCCCCTCCAAGCTATTTCTGGGAAAAGACCTTCCCGCTCACAGCTATTTCTAGAAAAAGACCTTCCCCCTCCAAGCTATTTCTGGGAAAAGACCTTCCCCCTCCCAGCTATTTCTAGGAAAAGACCTTCCCCCTCCCAGCTATTTCTAGGAAAAGACCTTCCCGCTCCCAGCTATTTCTGGGAAAAGACCTTCCCGCTCCCAGCCAGTTCCAGGAAAAACGTTCTCGTTAAACTGCCGTAAAGCAAAGAGGAAGCTGTCACGCGAGATGTAGCCTTGATCTATATATGGATCACATAAAGCATGCATACAACTCTGTTGGGCAACTTTCAAGAAGTATCGAGGTTTCCTGGAGAATGACATATTATCGCGAGGAATGTCACCACTTAATATACATGTGTAAACAAATAATACAAAAGCGAGAAAAGGCTTAGTCATCAATGACATCAGTGACCTTCTGAGCTGAAGTCAACGTTCGAGTGGTAGATGACACACGCTGCACTGCTGTACCAAAGAGCGCGTGAGTGGCTACACACAACTCACTATCAGATACACGTACATCTTCCTAAGGCAAGGAAGTTAACCTACTATAAAAGTCCAGTCTTCATCCTTGACCGTACTAGGCTGGAATTATGGAGTAATAATGTTGGCTAGACTAACGAGATCTTGCATACTCCATCCTAAATCGCAAAACGAAATCAACACTGGGTTCGTAAAATGCGGGGGCACGGGCTGCCCCAGACGTCTAAGGCGCTGCCAATCGCTGTGCAGAGTTGCGTCCCCTGGGCATGCAAGAAACCTATGATTGAGGGTTCGAATCCCGGTTCGCCCCGATTATGTTTCTAGGTTTGTCAGCATCATACCCGTGCTCGTGGATGTCACCGAAGTGATAAACGTCTGGGACCTGCATCACTTCGGGCTTTCCTCCCACATTAAGCTAACACACCGCGATATAACTGGAATACTGTTAAAAGCGGCGTTTAACCCAATTTCGGTTCGATTTCGGTCGATAGCAGGATTTCCAAAGCATGTGTACCGTCAACTTAGCATCAGATATCTTCCAAATATTTTCATGTCTTTAGTGCTCACGTGATTTGAAGCACCTAGCGAAGTAAGTTCCGTTTTATTACAATACAGATCTTGATTATCGATGAGATCATCGTCACTGGGCGCCGCCATTTTGCTTGAAACAAATGTAAGTGATATCAGGGATGGAATCTGATTGGTCAACAGGAATATAGAAGGGACATAACTCGTCATAGCCACTGGTGGTGCTACGATCGAGCCCAGAATTTCCAACTTAGTTCGGAAAGGGTGGAAACTGAACATTTATAGTCAGTAAACTGCCTTGCCATGAGAAGATGATGCACCTAGTGATGTCAGTATATTCATTCTTCAGTTTGAATTTTCTGTTATATAATGTAACTTTGATATTAATATATGTGTCCCCATTGTTTTCAGGTAAGTTACATAATTCATATAATTTGAATTAGTCCTTGCGCTTGTGTGTGTCTGCACGTGTGTGTGTATGTGTGTGTGTGTGTGTGTGTGCGTATGTGTATGTGTGTATGTGTGTATATGTGTATGTGTGTATGCGTGTGCGTGTGTGCTTGACGTAGTCCGGACTAATGCCGAATTAATAGTGCTAGCTTACTTAGATATCATGCTGCAGTTTAACATGAATACCCCAATCAGACACAATATTCTAACTCCGAGCCGAACTGTTCTTGTTTTATCCCCTTAATGCCGATTGCCAGGCAGGGTAACAACAAGTACCACCTTGTAACGTCTTTTGGAATGACGCGGCCGGGGATCGAACCCCAGACCATCCGTTCTCCGGGAGACGCTCTATCCACTACACCACAGAGGCGGTCCCATATTAAGAAACACTAGTGATTTAACATCTCCATATGTCTTATGTCGACTCCCCTCGTGAATTTAAATCGGAATATATCATTTCTGCACGAAATCAATTACGAATACAAATAGAAATCTATGATTACAACCAGAAGAATACAGTCAAAGCTCGACAGTACGAACACGATCAGTAAAACGATCAGGGAGAGGAATGCGTCATCGAGGCATGTACTCCATGGCTTCCTTAGGGTTTGTTCGCCCGTGACAGAGACGTCCATTGTGTGAATAGAAGGTGGGTTACATGCAGCTGGCTGAACGTCCTGTGCAGCGCAACAGGAAGGTAAGGATAGGGTAAAACTAAAGTTAACGTGTATATATAGACATGGATTGAGCTACATAAGCTGAATACGTTTTTACTACAATTAATTCAATATAAGTAATCATCAAAAGGATGCAAAACTAAATGAGAGCTTCTTGTTGATTAGGTTACATTCTGTAAGGATACATCGTTGTTATGTATACCACTAGGAAGGTGTAGGGTGGGATACATAGACTTACAGCCAGTCTCTTGCTCTCCATATCTAGTTGACTATCCACCTTTATTGTTAACTCAGCATCTCAGCTCGCCTAAGACAGCCAAACTGTATATTTTTAAACTCTCATGTACCTGTGAATAATGTTGCAACTAATGGTGTAGGCTTACAAACTAGGCCAGCTCAAGGAAATTTAATATTTCACGAAAGACTGAGAAAAAGGAAAAATTGAGCCAGTGCATTTTTGGGTTCTTCTTCTTTCGGATTCGCAATCTGGCTTATGACTATAGTTGTTTTGCCATCCTCTAGAGATTGACTTTTGCGACTGGACCCTCGAATAGGTCCACATGAATATGGCCATCAGCTGTTAACTGACCTACTTGTGGTTCACAAATATGCGGTCTCCCTGGAGACAGGTAATACAAGTCATTCCACAGGCAACTTCCGTGTATTGAACTGCCCTTAAAAAGGACGTATTATCCTCTGTGTACGCATTATACATATCCTATCGCAAACCTCGTCGATGTGCGTACGTTTGAGTAATAAATGGATGTAATGTAGGACTCGTTTGTCATATGTATATTTGTATATGTATGATTGTTCAAGGTACCTCCTTCGACAGTAACATAGACCATAAGATCAGCACTTTTCCTGTGCAGCTCCACAATGGAAGAGAGCGGTAAGAGATTGCCCCGTGTTACACTGTTCCTATACCTACAATATTGAGGATAGGTATGTTAATTATATATGCTTATCAGCTGGGAGATGCATGCATGAATCTCTGAGTCGTCGACTTGAGTCTGTGCGATGATACATTCTCGTCAATCTTGCTTTGAATCTTTATTCTTTTGTATTAATCTTATACAATATCACACTGCTTATGGGTCATCTGGTAGTGCAGTTGAGGTTAGCGTCAAAATCTACTGGATTATCTCCCTTACCTACCAGGATCCACTGTTTGTGATTTCGAATCACCGTGTCGCACCAATTAGGATTCTATAGTAATCTTAAAAGCGGCGTTTAAACGAGAGTTGCCTCACTTAAAGGAGACCTTTTTGATAATCATGATAAAAATAATAAAGTAAAACAAACATAAATGTGCATTGAAACTTAATTTCTGATGTAAGAAATCGTGTACAAAGCAGGTACTTATTAACTGACTTTACAAAGCAGGTACCTATCAACTGACGTCACGCAGCAGGTACCTATTGACTGACATCACACAGCTGTTACCTATTAACTGACATCACACAGCAGGTACCTATTAACTGACAACACACAGCTGTTACCTATTAACTGACACCACACAGCAGGTACCTATTAACTGACATCACACAGCAGGTACCTATTAACTGACATCACACAGCTGTTACCTATTAACTGACATCACACAGCTGTTACCTATTAACTGACATCACACAGCAGGTACCTATTAACTGACATCACACAGCTGTTACCTATTAACTGACATCACACAGCAGGTACCTACTAACTGACGTTACACAGCAGGTACCTATTAAATGACATCACACAGCAGGTACCTATTAACTGACATCACACAGCAGGTACCTATTAACTGACATCACACAGCAGGTACCTATTAACTGACGTTACAAAGCAGGTACCTATTAACTGACGTTACAAAGCAGGTACCTATTAACTGACGTCACAAAGCAGATACCTATTTTACTGACGTTAAAAAGCAGGTACCGATTAACTGACGTTACAAAGCAGGTACCTATTAACTGAGGTTAAACAGCAGGTACCTATAAACTGACATCACACAGCAGGTACCTATTAACTGAAATCACAAAGCAGGTGCCTATAAACTGACATCACACAGCAGGTACCTATTAACTGACATCACACAGCAGGTACCTTTTAACTGACATCACACATCAGGTACCTATTAACTGACATCACACATCAGGTACCTTTTAACTGACGTTACAAAGGAGGTACCTATCTTCTGACGTACAAACGCAGGTACCCATTAATTGACGTGACAAAGGAGGTACCTATTAACTGACATTACACAGCAGGTACCCATAAACTGACATCACACAACAGGTACCTATTAACTGACATCCCACAGCAGGTACCTATTAACTGACGTTACAACGCAGGTACCTATTACATGACATCCAGTAAACCTGAGCAAAGCATGGACAAACGAAACCCTAATGTTCCAAGTGACGTAGCATCCATCCGGCACTATATGTAGACTTCCTCACATGTGTATCACTGAATAATCTTCAAAACAGATTATCGTTCTTTTAACGTACGTTATTGCATTTTTTGGTTTACAAAGGAAATCCCTATAAACATGCTTACATTAGTTTTGTGCATTTTCACTCATTTCTTGTTCCTTTGAATAGGAATATCAAATAATCTCCTGTTTCTCACAGATAATAGTGGAGATGAAGCTCCAAAGCGTGAGGTTCCAGAGGAGGGGGTATTGGACGATGGAACCATAGATGGTTTGTACACAATCTGATTTTTAAATACATATGAAATATCATCTAGATAAATAGATAAATATCGCCAGAATTTTTAGCCATATTGCATTTGCTGTACGGAATATCGCTCAACTTCTCCAAATACATGTTTCATATGATTCTGGTAAGTGGCGGTATCTAAAATGTCCACCTTTAGTACTTCATGACGACAAAACTTACAATTTCTTCATACTTTGCGTTTGAGGACTTAGTCCTTAAATCTTTCGTTACTAATCAGATGAGACCATGTTCTGAGCTACTCAAACGACAATCACATTTTCGAAAGTGCCACAAAGACAAACATATTCCTACTCATTAGGATTGATATTGACAATATTGCCTTCATTGTCAATTTCTGTTTGGTCGTGTTCAGTTGATCCATTCATTGTGGGACCACAATAACTAGTGTCTAAATTATGTAGGATGCATGTAACCAACACAGATTTTGCTCGTGGAAACAACCTACGGAGATCCCTGAGCTTCTCGTTACATCACATCTTACATATGATTATCAACTATACTTTTTTCTTTGTCAGACACAGATGGCTCATTTAGAAAATATTTCAAGAAATTCATTCAGTAAGTTGACGTTTCCTTCTAAGAAAGTTGGAGTTTGATCATTAGAATTAGAGTTTATATGAATATTGAAAGTGTTCTGTCGTTTCTATTTGCATAATACGTTTCTGGCAAATATGTGGAGATTTTTGTTTTACAAATAATCAATATACTATTTAGCTTACAAATAACATCAACAAAACTGACCTTTGGTATATTTACGTAATTTCCTTATATATATATATGGTTTGATTCTGTAATGCTAACGAGTTGTATATGGTTTGACTCTAAAACGCTGACGAGTTGTATATGGTATGATTCTGTAACGATGACGAGTTGTATATGGTTTGATTCTGTAACGCTAACGAGTTGTATATGGTTTGACTCTGTAACGCTGACGAGTTGTATATGGTATGATTCTGTAACGATGACGAGTTGTATATGGTTTGATTCTGTAACGCTGACGAGTTGTATGTGGTATGATTCTGTAACGATGACGAGTTGTTTATGGTTTGATTCTGTAACGCTGACGAGTTGTATATGGTTTGATTCTGTAACGATGACGAGGTGTATGTGGTTTGATTCCATGCAGTGCATTTAAACCACACGTTCGAACGAGGGAGATGCCACAGACGCCACCCGTTGCACCCCATGACGACAAAGACGTGTACACGTTTTCCTCACAAGAAAAGGGTCTGGCTGTCATCATCAATAATGAAGAGTTCGACTTAAGGTCCAAATTGTCAGATAGGGAAGGTGCAAAAAAAGATGCACGTAATCTTTTGAAGATTTTCAAACATCTGGGATTTGAGACCAAGTATTATGAAAATCTGACAGCACGTCAAATGGTGCACACACTTCAAACAAGTAAGCCGTCACATTGTCTCCGTTTGCATCAATTTTATTATGATAAGATTACATAATCTTTTAGTACCTATTTAAGTTATGTTTGTTTGTTTGTTGGTTTGTTTGTTGTTTAACATCGCACTCAGCAATATTCCAGCTATATGATGGCGGTCTGTAAATAATCAAGTCTGGACTAGACAATCCAGTGAATGATATGAGCTTCGATCCACGCAATTGGGATCGATGACATGCATCAACCAAGACAGCGAGCCTGACCACCCCATCCCGTTAGTCGCCTCGTACGACAACCATAGTCGCCTTTAACAGCAAGCATGGGTTGCTGAAGACCTATTGTACAAGCATGGGTTGCTGAAGACCTATTGTACAAGCATGGGTTGCTGAAGACCTATTGTACCCCGGATCTTCACGGGTCAGTTATGTTTGTATCACCATTACCGTTAATTATGAAAGTTGTCTTTAGACAGCCTTTTTCGATTTGTGCAATATAATTTGCTTAACTAGTTTCTAATGTCAGTCGTCAAGTAATTGGAACTGTTTGTATACAATACACCTTCAATTATTTATGTTTTTATGTCTCCTCCACAGTTGCCGGCAACAAAAAGTACGATTTGAACCAGGTCGACTGCTTTGCATGTGCCATCCTGTCGCATGGGGATAATGGAATATTTTTACCCAGAAAGACACAGAAAGAAGAGTCAATGATACGACATGACATCATATGTGGCACAGACGGCGAAGTTGTCCCCACTCGGTACCTTCTGAGCATCTTCAACGACGAATGCTGCCCTGAACTGGAGGGGAAACCTAGGCTGGTATTCTTACAGGTCAACAAACCATTCTCTATACCTCACACTCTTAACTTTGACAGAAAGTAGTTCATATTACATGCAAAGGGATCATTCAGTCCATGCTGCTTTCTCTGATAGTCAAAAAGGCTTTTCATAGACTTGGCATAATGTTTCTGCCTACAACTTACATGCATTGGGTGTTAGGGGTCATATATGGACATTACTTCAACATTGTTTTATTAACAGCTGTGTCTTTGTGTTGTATCAGGGCGAACAGGCAGATAGCTACATTATGATTCTTTCGTTGTGATAATTATTTGTGCTTCTTTCTTGTCTTTACCAACGATTTTAGTACAACCCTCAGTCTAACATAAATCTGGTGTCTGTGTATATGGTATGGGTACTGCTACAGTCTTGCTATTGACGTCAGTATAACACGTTATCGAGTGTCTTGCAAATATCATTTGATACTGGATATTGATATGCCTCAATGTTGCATATAATTGGCTTGACTTGATTGTAAATTTTAAAAAATATGATCGCTCTAGTGAAAAACAAGAATTTTGAAGTACTGCCTGTAATCAAAACAAAATATCAACTCTTTAAGATCTTTAAGATTAAATGCTCATGGTCTTCATTTCAATGACAAACATGCCGATCCACTGGAAAATACACAAAGACAGACTGTTCAAGGTTTTAATGAAAGATCTATGACAAAATCCACTGCTGGCGACCAGGGAAAGGTATTTGAAACACTGATAAATGTAAACTTGTATTTCTTGGTAGCTTATGTAGCCTGTATTGCAATATATAAAAACACCACCACATGAAATGGCCAGTACCTTATCAGCTATCCTCCATAACGTCAGGGACACGGGTGGCCAAGTTGTCTAGGGCGCCACTGTTCTCTATGCAGAAACCAGTGATCGTGGGTTTGAATCCCGGTTAGCCCCGATTATGTGTCTACGTGTGTTACACCCTACCCGTGCTCGTGGGTTTCACCGAAGTGGTAAACGTCTTAGACCTGCATCATTTTGGGCTTTCCACTCACATTAAGCTGACATGCGACGATCTAACTGTCAAAAGGCATGTGTCACTTAATCACGCTACATCTTCAACATAATAACACATAATGAAAATAATATCCATTTGTAGGGTATTTCCTTCTTTCAGGCTTGTCGAGGGGATCACCTTGCTGACCCAGCATACATTACAGTGTTAGAAAAAAAGAAAAAAGTAGAAACAACACGAGACAAATCTGCAAAAGATGCCGTGGATGCTGTACCTGGTTGTGTCGACGAATTGCAAAAACATGAACATGAGAAGGACCATGAACATAACCAAGAACAGGAGGAAGCTAAGGAGCATGAACATAACCAAGAACAGAAGGATGAGGAGGAGCATGAACACAAACAAGCACAGGAACATGGTGAAGACCATGAACATAACCAAGAACAGAAGGAAGCTAAGGAGCATGAACATAAACAAGCACAGAAACATGGTGAAGACCATGAACATAACAAAGGACAGAAGGATGAGGAGGAGCATGAACACAAACAAGCACAGAAACATGGTGAAGACCATGAACATAACCAAGAACAGAAGGAAGCTAAGGAGCATGAACATAAACAAGCACAGAAACATGGTGAAGACCATGAACATAACAAAGGACAGAAGGATGAGGAGGAGCATGAACACAAACAAGCACAGAAACATGGTGAAGACCATGAACATAACCAAGAACAGAAGGAAGCTAAGGAGCATGAACACAAACAAGCACAGAAACATGGTGAAGACCATGAACATAACCAAGAACAGAAGGATGAGGAGGAGCATAAACACAAACAAGAACAGGAACACGAGGAACAGGGGGATCAGAATCCATCGACAAGCGTCGCAGACCAACAAGGGAAAGAACGGCCGCGATATCTCACTACCATCACCCCATCACCCATCTACAAGGACTTCCTGGTTCTGTACGCCGCGCCTCCAGGTAGGACAGTGTTCAAGGTCACATTATCCCCTTCGACAGATATTCTAGACTAGTCATTCTCTGGCATTGACAATCTATTTTTACTTGAACTGGGTCGATGTTTCTGCTGGTGGACTGATATTCCCGAGTTTCATCATAAGCACAGTTGCATTTATCTGTGCTGAGTCAACCCAGATTATTGCATATCTGTCATGACATGACAGATTAACTGTAGTAATATGAAAGAATCGGGGGGTCCTTAGCCTCTTGTGAATAGTATATGGGGCGGTGGGGTAGCCTAGAAGTTAAAGCGTTCGCTCGTCACGCCGAAGACACGGGTTCGATTCCCCACATGTGTCAAGCCCATTTCTGGTGTCCACCGCCGTGATATTGCTGGAATATTGCTAAAAGCGGCGTAAAACCATACTCACTCACTCATATACGACATCTTACGAGATTCAAACAATTACGAAACCAACACAGAATTGGTGTTCTGACATATGTAACCGGTGTTGGGCTTATTTCGGGAATTAATCCCCTTAACATTTACGTATTGTACGTAGGTAACGCAATAAACGGGGTTGAAGCGAAGCATTGTAACACTCACGACTTTCATGTTGCAGGGCACTTCGCATGGCGGAATGCGAGAGAAGGATCTTGGATGATACAGTGTCTCACCAAGGTGATGCTGTCTGAGGACGTCTTTCAAATACCGCTAACGTCCTTGCTTCGACAGGTCAGCTGGAAAATGTCCAGGATGGTGTCTGATGTTAAAGGAACACAATTACACGAAAAGATGTCAGTCCCGTGTGTGACTTCCATGCTAACCAAAGACGTTTATTTTAAGAAAAAGAATTTGTAGATAAAAGATAGATTTAATTCTAATTTCAACAAATACGGTTAAAGGTCCATTAGCCGTCATCTGTGGGAAGACCTTATGACAGTCAAGCTTACATACATTTTTTTTATATTTCACCCTCGCCTAGATTATCCGGAGTTGGATATGTATTCGTAATTTAATTACACTCCAGATTAATAAATACTAATGTTGCAATATCTGCAAAACAAATGCCTCTGTAATAGCTACAAATAATTTTCTCCGTTTTCTCCGTCTGAGGCGCCACGATTTGCTGTGCAGAGTTGCGTCCCTTGGGCACGCCAGAAACCTATGATTGTGGGTTCGAATCCCTGGTCGCCCCGATTATGTTTCTAGGTTTGTCAGCACCATACCGTGCTTCATGGGTTACACCGAAGTGGTTCACGATTTTTACGTTTATATAGCGACACGCATGCACGTGTATGTGTGTGTTTGTGGCTGCTTGAACTAGTCCGGACAAATGCCGATTATAGAGAGCTAGCCCAGTGAGATATTATGCCACAGTTTAACATGAATACCCCACTCAGACACAGTGTACTAACTCCGAGCCGACCAGTCATTGTTTTAGCCCATTAATGCCGAGCGCCAGACAGGGTTAATACAAGAACCATCTTTAAACGTTTTCTGGTATGACGTGGCAGGGATCGAAACCCGGAGCTTCCTCTTGTTCATGAGTGAAGTGTCATATTTAGTAGATTCCCCTGCATGTCTACCACAGGATGTCTGGATGGACACGACCATGTCGTGGGTGATAAAACCTTGATCGGAAAGCTTACTGGTAAGTAAATTGGGTCTTTTACGCGAAATATCAATAAATTGTACATGTCTAGAGTGTAATTCAGTAAACAATGAATTGCGCATGCGTGTGACGTCACGGCCCGCTCTCCCATTCATCTTTTCTTGAAACCACACCCGCAATTGTTTATGTCAACATGACCGACCAATGGGATTAACTGGATTAACGCTTGAAAAGTTTAGAATTTATGGCTAACCCTTGCCCAAAGCCAGCTGACCCTAATGACCGAAAAGGGGTTTTGGATCGTAAAGACGTGTAAGTTTCCCTAAGACCGAAAACGGGTGTTGGATCGTAAAGACGTGTAAGTTTCCCTAAGACCGAGAACGGGTGATTGATGGTAAAGATGTGTAAGTTTCCCTAAGACCGAGAACGGGTGTTGGATCGTGAAGCGAGAGTCACCAGAGCGTGAGGCACGGTAACGGTATAACGAGACAGCGTGGCACTATAGCGCGGTAATTGAGCGGATGGTAGAGCTCGGGCTGCGCCCGGTAAACTGCATCGTTGCCGAATATATACATGTGTAAATAGTATATCTAAAATTTTGAGGTAAGATATTTAGGCAAGAAGTAGGCATCCCCATGGGCACAAATGTGTTCCCCTTCTTGCCGATCTGTTACCTTAAGTCATAATTAGAATTCGGTTCGGTTTGGCAAAGTCTAAACAAGCTAATTTGGCGGTTTAGTTTAACTTAAGCTTCAGGTGTATCAATGAACTGCTATCGTTCAATAACCATCAAATAGTCAATTCCCTTTCATTGATTTACCCTCCTGAACTAGAAATATAGGCGTTCAGTGAGGTTCTTTGTCTGTTTAGATCTATGCATAAAGACTCCTGGTGACAATACACTCTCCACAAGAGAAACAGTCAGGATAATGTTGTATACCATGCGTACAAGAGGATTCAACAGCATGGTACTACAGTAGGCTAGCACTATAGAATCGGCTTTAGTAAGGAGTAGTACAAGAATACACACACACACACACACACACACACACACACACACACACACACACACACACACACGTTCATGTACGTCGCTATAAAAGTGCAAAAGTCGTGGACCCGACGTTAAACCCCATTTCACGTCACCTCTTATAACGCTTGTGTGTATGTTTCTTCATGTTAGGTAATTGTCAAGTGCAAACCATGCCAAACCGTGATTATTACAACTCTATTTTTCACCATGACATGCGCAGTGTCACACAGAACTTCAGTGAAAAGTACAATTGTTGAGTCAATATCGGATGTCGTTTTGTCACAACAAAGTTGGTGAGTGTCGAGTGCGTCACGTGATAAGAGGTTAGCACGGAGTTCTTCGTTGTGTCCCAGTTTCCAAACAACCCTACAGATTACACACAACCAAATGTTTTCCCATAGACTTCTATAGTAACGTTATATTTTTTTAAATAACTAAGCATTCAACAGCTATTACCTGTACGTGTGTGCACAGTTTGGCCTTAGAGCAGCAATAAAAAAAATAAAAAATGACCAGCTTAGCCAGCTCCTTTTCCGAGTACAGGAAGCTAAACACACCACCCCCAGTTTCGCACCAAATGTCACCTACTTGAAAATAGCTGTGGTCACATTCAGCATAAGTCATCCTGTTGAAAAAGAAAGCGCTAAATATAGAAAAACATGGTCAGTTTTAATAACTGGATGGATGTACATTTGAAAGACATAAAAATCTTATAGAATATCCTCCAATCACAGCATGCAGTCATCTCTCGATATGCACTGAAGGCTCCCTACGAAAACAGCACTGTCCAAACTGCTTCTGATTCGCTGTAGTAGAACCTGTACGTGTTTGTGCGGCCCTGGGTTCACTTCTTTGAAGTCACGCTCTCTACTGTACGTTACGCCCATCGCGTACACCAGAGGGGAAAGAGAACGCGATTGGTCAGAGTCTGACCTACTCTAACGGACGTAATCAGTTATTGAGTTAGGTTTAGTATTACAGTTATATCAATGCGTGGGGGCAATTCATTATACAGATCGTGCGAAGTGTAGTCAGTCCTGAGAATGAGGTAGCACACACCAGGGCCCTGTTCCACCAAGCGATCTTAGCGCTAAGACGATCGTAACTCCCATACTTTAACATAGGCCTACGGTGGTCGTAGGGCTAAGATCGCTTTGTGGAGCGGGGCCCAGGGCCCCGTTCCACAAAGCAATCTTAGCTCTACGATTGTCGTAAGTCAGTGTTAAAGAATGGGACTTACAATCAACTTAGCGCTAAGATCGCTTTGTGGAGCGGGGCCCAGAACACTACAGTTAACAATATAACGACTGTGTATGTATCAGATCCGGGAAACCCATTATATTCTGGTGTATTACATTTGAAGAGTCATGAAAGAGGTTGTAGAGTTAGACATACCCCGTGACATAAAGCATGCAGGATTTATGTGTACACCTGTATGGTACGGCTGTCACACTCTATTGCAGGAAGATGCACCTTTTTTATGGTTTGGTTTATATTTTAAGCCTTTTCAAAATGAAATTGAACTTATAATCCTTATTGCTGTTGCAGGGTGTATCTTGGAGTGTCGGTGATCTGTATGTGCAGTGGTGATCTGTGGTTGTTGTGACTCCGCTATGGCGCAGTTGGGTAAGTATGTCGCTTTGTGTAACATATTCGATCTTTGTGTAACATATTGGATCTTTGTGTAACATATTGGATCTTTGGATCACTCATTCACTCACCCAGAACCCACTCACTCACTCACTCACTCAACCACTCAACCACTCAACCACTCACTCAACCACTCATTCAACCACTCACTCACTCACCCAGAACCCACCCACTCACTCACTCAAATATCAAGGGTCTCCTCGCAAGTTTGGTAAGTTCTACCCAAAAGAAGTTAAAGAACTTATTACCGTAGTTAATCTGTCATGGCTGGTGGGTATTGCAAAACCCATGGGTGTTTTTTACCATGTTTTGAGTAGTATGTGTAGTACAAACATCACTCACTGTTCCTGCTAAGCTGTAAATCAATATAGCAGTTAATGTTTCCTAATTTTCTGGAGGAAACGTTCAACTGATACTGGTGTCTGGACATCGAAAGGGTCACCGAGTATCATGTTACTGATTGTGATCAGGTTAGCTTTCCTATAAACCAGGCTTCACTGACAGACTGCTGAAATGGTGTTAACTACACTCTAAAAAAGTAAACGTCACGAATACATTCACGAACGTCAACAGCGGTTGTCGGTCCTCAACAGTTAATATCAATCATGTGAAGGACCATGTGAAGGCCAACAATGCAACTTGTTCTCGACTCCTTTGTGGACGATAACTTCGACAAATGCTAACAGTCAAATGTAATGGTTACATAGTCCATGATAAACCATCGGTCCGATAAACCGTCCGACATATCCTGTATGACGTGTTCTACGAATGTGTCGCCTATAGACTGACTGAGCTGATGATTGTGATAGAGATATATGTACCCCTGTAGGTATCGTCACATGTTCATCCATGTACTGTTTTCTCTCTGTGTAGATACGGAAAGCCCCTTATTTGAGAAGTATTACGCCACATTCAAGAAGTAAGTAGCTAACTTTTCTTAATTTAATTTTGAAAATCTTCCACAGTACAGTTGTTCAATATCATTGTTTGTTTGTTGTTTAACGCCGCACTCAGTAATATTCCACATATGTGACGGCGGTCTGTAAATAATCGAGTCTGGACCAGACAATCCAGTGATGGACATCATGAGCATCAATCCACCAATTGAGATACGATGACATGCCTTAACCAAGTCAGCGAACCTGCCCGCCCGATCCCGTAAGTCGCCTCTTATGACAAGCATAGTCGCCTGTTACGGCAAGCATGGGTTGCTGAAGGCCTATTCTACCCCGGATTTTCACAGGACAATTCAATATCTCTTCATCCTGATTACGTTTCAATGTTTGTCAACACCGTATCCGTGATCATGGGTTTTGTGGTATACGTGTTAAACTATTTCTACACACCGTGAAATGACTGCAATACACGACCTGCATCACTTCGGGCTTTCCTCCCACATTAAGCTGACACGCCGTGATATAACTGGAATACTGTTAAAAGCGGCGTTAAACCCAACTCACTCACTCCTGTCAAGTCAACGTTAGAGGTATTTTCAGTCAGGGGGTTTGTGGTGGCGCCCAAGAAACCTTCGATCGTTTGTTCGAATCCCAGATTAGTTCCGAATACAATACTTAAAGCGACGTGAAAGCAAATTTACCCAATCTACCTCTCATTACATTTTCTGAAATAACTGCAGGAACTTTAACTCTGTCCAACGGAGAGAAAATCTGGAGGAGATACAACACGTTTTGCAAGGTGATGACGAAGACCAGTATGACTTCAACTACCCTGAACGAGGCCTGGCAGTGATCATCAATAACGAACACTTCACCAACATTGCCGACAGGAAGGGCTCCGATGTCGATGCCACCACTCTGGAGGACATATTCGTTAAACTGGGGTTTCAAGTGAAGCGCTATGACGACCTAACTGGAGACCAGATGGTGCAGACCCTCCAAAAAGGTAAACTGATGGTCTCTACAAACGCCTAAGTTTGCAGTCTGTGCGGTGAAATGAGATTTAACCTCCCGTTCAAGATTATGTTACTCATATAACGAGGGTGGCCCAGTCGTCTAAGGCGCCGCGATTCGCTGTGCAGAGTTGCGTCCCTTGGGCACGCCAGAAACCTATGATTGTGGGTTCGAATCCCGGGTCGCCCCAATTATGTTTCTAAGTTTGTCAGCACCATACCCGTGCTCGTTGGTTTCACCGAAGTGGTAAACGTCTGAGACCTGCATCACTTCGGGCTTTCCTCCCACATTAAGCTGACAGGTCGTGATATAACTGGAATACTGTTAAAAGTGGCCTTAAACCAAACTCACTCACTCACTCACTACTCATATAACGAGTGTGGCGGCTATTCTAGTCCGCATGTTGTAGCTTTTATATTACTTACCTACGCAGTTTGGCTACCCCACTCAGACACCGTATACTGACTCCGTTCCAGTTGTTTTATTTCTTATTGCCGAGCACCAGGCGGATTTACAACGGGAACTTGGCATTAGGGGGGTAAAACAGCCCGGCGTCAGTACACTGTGTCTGAGTGGGGTATTCATGTTAAACTGCGGCATGATATCTCACTGGGCTAGCTCTCTATAATCGGCATTAGTCCGGACTAGTTCAAGCAGCCACAAAAAAAACACATACACGTGCATGGTGTCGCTATATAACGTAAAAACCGTGAACGCGACTTTGAACCCCAGTTCACCTCACCTTTCTCCCTGGTACTACTTCTCAATGACAATTGTGTGAGGTGATATCAATGTTTGCAGATGTTCGAATCTGATTATTCCATGTAATTAACGTTATGACTTTCTTTACAACAATTCATCATGTCAAATGGTGTGATAAAGTATAATACATTTCAAGGAATTGTGTCTCAATGTGTGTGCAGGGTTGCGTCCCTTGGACACGCCAGAAACATATGGTTGTGGGTTCGAATCCCGGTTCGCCCCGATTATGTTTCTAGGTTTGTCAGCACCATACCAGTGCTCGTGGGTTTCACCGAAGTGGTAAACGTCTGAGACCTGCATCACTTCGGGCTTTCCTCTCACATTAAGCTGACACGCCGTGATATAACTGGAATACTGTTAAAAGCGGCGTTAAACCCAACTCACTCAATCACTCTAAATGTTTGTTATCATAAAACGTCAATACGTTTATGAGCTTTTCCGAACTCTTTCTGCAGTTGCCGGGAATAATGAATACGACCACAGGCTAGCCGATTGCTTTGCATGTGCTATTCTGTCACATGGAGATATGAAAGAAATAGACGAATGTGATACTACAGCGCAACCACATAAAGCTAAGGTCAAGCACGACATCCTCTATGGCGCGGACGGCACTGTGGTCCCAACCAGACACCTCGTCAGCATCTTCAACGATGAGTGCTGTCCTGAACTGAAGGGGAAGCCAAGGCTGTTCTTTCTGCAGGTCTGATAGATCAATGTGTTACTTGAGTATATGAATTTTATAAGAAAATTAAAATATTAAAGCAAGTAAATGACTGCAGGTAAAGCTGATACTCAGGTCGTTTACAATTTTGGTGAAACCCAGGAGCACGGGTTTGATGCTGACAAACCTAGGCACATAATCGGAGCTAATCTGGGATTCGAATAAACGAGCGAAGGTTTCTTGGGCGCCACCACAAACCCCCTGACTGAAAATACCTCTAACGTTGACTTGACAGGAGTGAGTGAGTGAGTTGGGTTTAATGCCGCTTTTAACAGTATTCCAGTTATATCGCGGCGTGTCAGCTTAATGTGGGAGGAAAGCCTGAAGTGATGCAGGTCTCAGACGTTTACCACTTCGGTGAAACCAACGAGCACGGGTATGGTGCTGACAAACCTAGAAACATAACCGGGGTGAACCGGGATTCGAACCCACAATCATAGGTTTCTGGCGTGCCAAAGGGACGCAACTCTGCACAGCGAATCGCGGCGCCTTAGACGACTTGGCCACCCGTGCCCCCTGACTTGAACAGAAGTTTACACATATTAAAAGTAGCTGTGCATGTAAGCAACTAAGACCGGGTTGTAGGCTGAGATCTCTTTTGTATTACTAAGCCAGTTTCAATGTTGGACAAGTTCTTTTGGTAACACCAATGAACTATCTCACTATCAGTATCCAAATACAGGTTTGGAAACATTTGGCCCAATAAAGACAAATTCCTCAGAGAGAAAACCTGTACCCTTCGTCTAAGGCGCCGCAATTCGCTGTGCAGAGTCGCGTCCCTTGGCTTCCCTCCCACATTAAGCTGACACGCCGCGATATAACTGTAATACTGTTAAAAGCGGCGTTAAAAACCCAACTCACTCTCCCACTGTACCCATTGACTTTTTTCTTTTAAGGCGTACGTTCAAATCTCCACATGCATTATCATTACGATGTTTTCAACCCCCGACCCCCTTTATAAATAGCGACAATATTCACTCCAACTGCAGAACAGCTACACATGTTGCATATTTTCACATCAGGCTTGTCGAGGACATGACAAGGATGCTGGCATGGATGTGGTCGTGCTGCAGGAGCAGGCCGTACCGGGAGATGCTGGTGAACAGGTAACACAAGACCGAGTGGATGGTGAAGCCCAGCAGGAGGAGCAGCGGGATGAGGCATCGGCAAGGATCACTCTATCGCCCTCACCTGTATACAGGGACTTTCTGATAATGTACGCTGCACCTCCAGGTAACTTAAAACATTCTTTAGTCGTGTTCTTACTCTGTCACCTTTCACACCAACCGTTGGCGGCGATATCGTTTTGCAATAAAAGAGTCATTTTTATCTGAGGGTATTTAAGTGCTTAACAACATAGATATTGTTGCTAGGCGTCCTCAAACAAACGCTTGTTTTAGCAATTTCGACCTCTCCTCTGAAACTAGGAGACCTATGGAGGTAAAATGTGTAAAGATTCTCACAGAATTCAGATGCGATTTTAAACCCATTGGTGGTCCTTATTGTCCATCTATTTCAAAATGAATTAAAAGGACAACATATGGCCCTTTTTGGCCGACAGACAGATTTTCGTCATGTGAAAACACATGCCCGTTTTGGCCGACAGACAGATTTTCTTCATGTGAAAACACATGCCCGTTTTGGACGTTATAACAACACATAACGTCAAGGTTTCAATATTTGAATGTAACCCATTAACCCAGCTTAAGCTATATGTGAATGTAATGACAATAAGAAGATCCACGTTTTTCAAAATATCACTATTTGTACTGAACATCGTTGTGCTAAATTATATTTGCAAAATATCATTGTTCTTTACACAGAAGTTGTTTGTTATATTTTTTGGGACACTATTTCACTGACAGGGTTCTACGCGTGGCGGAATGAATTGCATGGATCCTGGATGGTCCAGTCTTTCAGGGCAGTGATGTCAGCCACAGACGTCTCTGGTGTGTCGTTCACAACGTTGCTTACCAAAGTCAATCGGGAAGTTTCAAAGCGTGAGGCAAAAACCGACAAAAAAGGAATGAATAAAAAGAAAGCCATTCCTTGCATCATGTCTATGCTTCGCAAAGATGTCTATTTCAGCACAAAGAATCCAGAGTCTGATCATATGGTATAAGTATAACTAAATGGTTGCTGCGTCAAATTCACCTTGATTGTTATTCAAGTATCTACTACTTATCTACTCTTCACTCTCTAAAATTGATAAGTAAGTGAAGTACTGCAGTATAGATAGATGGTTGATGCATGTCATCGTATCCCATTTGCGTGGATCGATGCTCATGATGTCAATCACTGGATTGACTGGTCCAGACTCGATTATTTACAGACCGCCTTCACTTAGCTGTAGTATTGTTAAGTGCGGCGTTAAACAACAAACAAACAAGATATAATGTAAATACCTTTTCGATAAAGTCGTTGTGAGTGAGTGAGTGAGTATGGTTTTACGCCGCTTTTAGCAATATTCCAGCAATATCACGGCGGGGGGCACCAGAAATGGGCTTCACACATTGTACCCATGTCGGGAATCGAACCCAGGTCTTCGGCGTGACGAGCGAACGCTTTATCCACTAGGCTACCCGACCGTCCCCGTAGGGTTAAGACGTTCTAAGCCTCACATAGAGGGAATTGCGTAACAGTGAAATCTTTTGTTGTGAACATTACGTGATGTCAAGAGATATATACACAAAAACAATTGATCAAATTGTTTCGCTGTGTAAATAATAAGCAGTGACCTTGGAAAATGAACAAACTTGAGAAACATGCAGTGAAAAAGACATCCAAAAGACATCCATGTAGACATGAGAAGACTAGAGAAGTATTCCCCTATACTGTGTCATTGTGAAGAGGTGTGTAGCAGAGTTTATGCCCGGAAGGTCACGTGATCAACACCAGACATGGTGCAGGATAGAATACATTCCATTATCATAGAAACTTTGGGAATGAAGAAAGTATCATCTTTTTGGATTCCAAAGCTTCTGCCATCTGATCAAAAACGCATCAGGCACAACATGTCTCGTGATAATCTAGCTATGTTGAAAGCTGAGCCAGGAGGTTTTTTGCAACGATTTTTGATTATGCAGTTAACCTGGGTTCACCACTTCGTGGGCAACACCAAAACAATTGAAAGCTTTTGACATCACCATCACCAAAAAAGGCAAAGACTGTTCCATCAGCTGGAAAGGTTACGGACTATGTGTTCTGGGATGACGGAGTGTCATCATGGTGAAAATCTTCAAAAAGGACACACAATAAACGGAGATTATTAAGCTGCACGTCTTTGGGTCAAGTCATTCTACTGAATGCGAGGCTCAGAAAGTATCAATCACCCCTCCCATTCTCCATGTGTACGGCTAGATGTCCGCTCGGTTAACGTGTACTTTGTAAGGCAAAAGATCACCTCATGAAAATATTAGATCTTTACTGTTGGGTTTGGGGATTTCTAGGGTTCGTGGAAGTATTTTAAACAAACGATGAGGTATCTTCAATTTTACTAATTTAGTATAAGACATTTACTCTAAAAACTGTCTTTTATCGGATAAAGGGGCTGCAACTCTAACGAATAAGGTATTCACTCGCTTACGAAAGTGTCTATTCTACAATATAATGATGTTTTTCTTTTATCACAAAATGCATAGGTTGTCTTTTTTTAAGCCGATTAGCCGTAGCATACAGGACGTTATCACTTGTTTTTCGTAATGTTTCAAGGTCTGACTTCTCAGAAAATATTATTCTTTCCATCTGGAAGGTGTGTTCCAATTAATCTAAGGGGAATTAAGACCAAGGGACAACCATTATGAAACACCGTGCATGTTAGGATGTATCTGTTTGGTAAACTCTTTACAAGCATTATTAGTAATAGAATCCAAAATTTTATAGAAGATCAAAATATTTTATCTGAAGTGCAGACTGGTTTCCGTAAAAAATATTCTACAACTGATCACATATTCACCCTTAAATGCCTTAAGTCAAGAAAAAAGAAATTATTTTGTTGTTTAATTGATTTTAAAAAGGCTTTCGATAATGTAAGAAGGACTGCCTTGTGGAGTACACTGTTCAGCCAAGGTATAGATGGCAAATGTTTCAGAATTTTAAAGTGTATAGTGGTATAAAATCGTGTGTTAAGGTACATAGCATTGAATCAGATTATTTCCCTTGCCTTGTAGGAGTTAGACAAGGAGAAAACTTATCACCTGTTCTATTTTCTTTGTTTCTAAATGACTTAGAAACATTTTTAATGTCCAAAGACTGTCCAGGTCTATTAATTAATTCAGAAATAACACATTCCATGCTAGATTTATCTATTAAATTGTTTGCTCTTTTATATGCCGATGACACTGTCCTTCTCGCTTCCTCAAAAACGAATCTCCAAAAAGCTATCAAGCATTTTGAATCATATTGCAAAATTTAAAAATTAACTATCAATATTGATAAAACTAAAGTTCTAATATTTAGTGGTAATAAAAATGATATGAGTAAAGATATTTATCTCGATCGTGTTCCTTTAGAATATGTCACTGAATACAAATATCTTGATGTTATATTTGATAAAAAGTGTTCTTTTAAAGCATCCATTGCTAATCTATGTCAACAGGCTACAAAATTCATGTATTTCGTACTACGTAAAAGCCGAAACCTTAATTTATCAATTCAATGCCAATTATATCTTTTTGACACAATGGTAAAACCAATCTCATTATATGGTTGTGAATTACGGGGTTTTGTTAATCTAAAACAAATTGAGAATGTACATATTTGTTTCATAAGAAAATTATTACCTGTTAAAAAGAGTACCCCTTTATGCATGCTTTACGGTGAACTAGGTAGAGTTCCGTTATCTGTTGATGTTAAAACCCGTATGTTAATCTTTTGGTCGAAATTACTTACAGATAAATCCATCATTTACTCTATTGTATATTACATCCTTAATACAGGTGTTTACAACTATGTCTGGATTTCATGTATTCAAAATGTTCTAAACAATATTGGTTTAAGTTATGTATGGTTGTCACAGTCTCCTGTTTCATCTTCCTGGCTCAAAGCAACAGCTCACTCTATTTTAACTGATCATGCTAAACAAACCTGGAGCTCTGAGGTGGAAAATTAAAAAAAAAGTGTAGTCTATTCTCTCTTGAAACCACAATTTGAATTAGAAAATCCCTACCACTAAATAAAGCTATTCCTCTACTTTTATTTCGTACTTCATGCCACCACTTACCAATTGAAAAAGGAAGATGGAATGGGATACCTATTTGTTAAAGAAAATGTAAACTGTGTTTTATTGATGATATTGGAGATGAATTTCACTATATTTTTAAATGTCCATATTTCACTAAAGAAAGAATTTTGTATATCCCACCTACATATTCTAAAAGACCTAAATATGATTATGACTTTTCACTTGTAAAGAGATATTTGTATTAAAAAACCTTAGTAAATTCTGTAAATATATAATGCAAATTGTAAAATCTTCCGGCTAACCACATATCCGCTATTATAATGTGTATTTTGCTGTCATTTTGTACCTCATATGCCGAGGATCTCGGCCTGAGCGTAATGTAGTTCTGTTCTGTTCTGTTGAAGAATCACATTCAGAAAGCGACGAAAAGTTAAATTTCCTTTTCTTTTTCGTTTTGTTCAAAGACGTACTTAATACATGTTAAACTGTCAAGACAATGTTTTAACCAGACATGGGTTCGATTCCCCAATTGTATGGTCACTCTGTGTACACTTCTTGATAGTGCTGAAAGCGTTCTACAACCGAACATAACCACCTACACCTAAAGAACAATTGGAGGATTATTTCATGACATACTAGTATGTCACTTCTTTTGTATTTATATAATATGAATGACACACCATCTGATTGGACAATGGAAGACCTACTTGAATAGTTTTGAAAGAAAACAATATTGATAAACCTTTACTTGTTTTTCAAAGAGCTACTTGATACATCGTATTTAGATATACCTTTCGACAATTTAAAGAGGAAGATGGAACAAAATAAGTATCAATAAAGATTTTTTACGTTACGTTATTGTATATATCTAGGTGACGAATAACATTATATATTTGGACGTGAATATTTTAACGCAATTCGAAATTGATACATATCTGTGTATCTTTTGGGGGAAAATGTTTATGTAAAATTATTGATTGGACAATGGAAGACCTACTTGAATAGTTTTGAAAGAAAACAATATTAATAAATTTTTACTTGTTTTTCATAGAGCTACTTGATGCATCGTATTTAGATATACCATTCGACAATTTAAAGAGGAAGATGGAACAAAATAAGTATCAATAAAAAAAAATTACGTTACGTTATTGTATATATCTAGGTGACGAATAACATTATATATTTGGACGTGAATATTTTAACGCAATTCGAAATTGATACATATCTGTATATCTTTGGGGAAAAAATGTTTATGAAAAATTATCGCTTATCATAATCTCTTGGAATTTTAAAGAAACTGTCAGTAGAATAATTGTGCCCAAAGTGACGCAGGTCTTAGACGTTTACCATTTTGTTGAAACCCGTGAGCGCGGGTGTGGTGCTGACAAACCAAGGATCTTAATCCGGGTTTGTCACTTACTGTGATGACAAATTGCCAAGTACACTTTTCAAGAAATGCCCATTTTGAGAAATATAACATCATCATTGAGGTTTGATCACGTGGTTGATATCCGGGGATTCTTCGGCAGTTAGGTGGCTTCATTTAGCAGCGTGTGCAGCTTACGTACATTACCAGCACGAACTGAAAACGTGCAGATGTTGTATTTAAATAGCTGTTGCCCAGGTTCTCTGCTAAAATAACAGCTCGCAGTTACCTGACTGCCGATTCTGATGTGAGCAGTCAAACAGGTAGAAAGCGTCAGTTTCACATTTTCAAGGATTATGTGCTAGTAGTTACTGTGCAAAGTTGCGTCCCTTACATACGTCAGAAACCTAAGATCGTGGGTGCGAATCCCAGCTTGCCCCGATTGTGTTGCTGGCTTTGTAGGTCGCAGGTTTACTCGAAGTGGTAACCGTCGGCCTTTCCTCCCACATTAAGCTGACACTCCGTAATATAAATGGAATACTATTCAAAACGGCGTTAAACCCAACTCACTCCAATACATACTTGTCTAAGAAGTTTAACCCCAGAAGACCAATTTATATATGTTATGCAGAATGATAGTCCAGCTATTCCCCTAGCCGCAGTTGTTACTGCTATGTATAAAAGAAGAAAAATTCAACTTGCATTGTAAATAGTGCACTTCTGATCCATAAGTAATTGTTATTCTTCCTTATAGGATTTAACCACATATTTATAAAAGTCTAAATATATTAAGTTTTAATGGTATTCTTCCTTAAAGGATTCCTCAACAGTTACAAAAGTTATTAACAATGGGACATTTTCAAATAAATACTTATAAAATGGTTCTGTTACCACACGTTCGTATATATTTTGCATTTGTATCTCACTAAATGATACTAGTATAATCTCTTTACATAAAACTGAGTTATTTTTTATCTCTCGTGTCTCATGGGCCAACTGGCAGGATGGTTTATTTTATATTTTGTCATGTACTTTGAATGTATGTTTTTTATACTGCGTGACACGCAAATAAAATCATATCTTATCTTATCTTATCTTATGGTAACCGTCGGCCTTTCCTCCCACATTAAGCTGACACTCCGTAATATAAATGGAATACTATTCAAAACGGCGTTAAACCCAACTCACTCACTTACATATGACCGAAGCGACATTTCCTAGAACTGACTACAAAGTTCACAGATAATAGGTTTGACTGCCAGATCATATGTTTTACACACTTGTAATATATGATATAACCAGACCAGAATAGGTCTTCAGCAACCCATGCTTGCCGTAAAAGGCGATATCCTCATCGCAAGAGGAGACTTACGGGATCGGGTGGCCAGGCTCGCTGACATGGTTGATGCATGTCATCGTATCCCATTTGCGTGGATCGATGCTCATGATGTCAATCACTGGATTGACTGGTCCAGACTCGATTATTTACAGACCGCCTTCACTTAGCTGTAGTATTGTTAAGTGCGGCGTTAAACAACAAACAAACAAGATATAATGTAAATACCTTTTCGATAAAGTCGTTGTGAGTGAGTGAGTGAATGAGTATGGTTTTACGCCGCTGTTAACAATATTCCAGCAATATCACGGCGGGGGGCACCTGAAATGGGCTTCACACATTGTACCCATGTCGGGAATCGAACCCGGGTTTTCGGCGTGACGAGTGAACGCTTTAACCACTAGGCTACCCGACCGCCCGATAAAGTCGTTGTGTTAAAATATTTATATGCATTAACTATCTGGACACAAAGGCACCATTCAATATGGGTTTACGATAAAATAAATATCTCATATATGTGATCAGAAGTTGAATCACTACGGAATCCAGCCTGCGTTCCAGGGATTAAATTCTACACCAAGTTTTACCATTCTTCCTCAGTCGAAAGCACCGTTTCCTGGTTTCTTCAGTACGCCGAGACCTGTATCTTCTGAGAGCTTTTCGAGTTACATGAGGCATAAATGTTATACGCGGTGTACACACTGTGTATCTAATGAAGTTGTGGAAACTGGACTTTTTAGTTTGTTAACTCCCTTGCCTCGGGAAGATGGTCACAAACTTACCAACTGCATATTCCAAATGATTGTCATTTTCATCCTTCAAATTGATACGCAACATATAAAATATAAATTCCTTTTCAATGTTGTTCTCAGTTGAATTAAGTTTTGAAATATTCCGTATAAACCCATTATCAAGATTCCCTTCTTCGCTGCTTCAACTCGATACAAACATGTTTAATCCCCGGTTATGTTAGTATTTCCACGTAATGGAATCAATATTAAATTCACTTTTACTGTAGAGTGAAGTGGAATGAGTTGATAATATAGAGGGATGTTTACATTCTACTCGAGGCGAGATATATTTAAAAAGTTTTAAATGCTTGACATTTGTGATACTATAGGTACAACACAACAGTACCTAGGATAGGCTTTGTGGATGAGCAATAGTGAGTGGGTGAGTTGGGTTTAACGCTGCTTTGAACAGTATTTCAGTTATACCACAGCCTGTCACCTGGATGTGAGAGAAAAGCCCGATGTGATGCTGGTCCCAGACACACAGAAAAGACGTATTATAACCAACAGCACCCAGAACCGTGAATTAACATTCCCGAAGAAATAAGCGGCGAACTGACATATACTGTCGCGCCTTCAGTGTGTTAGTTGTATGAAAAGACTCGACATGTATTGATCTATGAATTACAGAGACGACTGACGTCGACCGTACATGCAGCATTCCCCGAGAATCAACGCCTCACTTGAATAATGTTATCACGCGGTTATGAGGAAAGTTACTACAGTGTGATTTATAAATAGACGCGACCGGTAACGCTAAGTGGAGTTGATATCGCCAAACAAACGTATATCCATCCAGACCGATTGACTGTTGAATAAAAGATCAGGTAGGTGTGTATATACATATACACATTCAGGGGCCCTGTGTTGTGGCTACTGTTACTGTTCATGTTAGGGAAGTTATCTATATTCGAACGAATTTGTTTCAGGAGTATCTGTCAAATACCCGGTTGGACAATGGATTCGCCAACAGGTGGGTGTGACGTAAACGGTATACACTGTATGATAGCCGGGTCAAGGTCACGGGAATATCATCATTGCATTCATTGTTTTCTGTGTGCAGTAATCACTGTTTGTAGTCTACATCCAAGCGCATACAGATGCATGCTGTGAAAAGGGGGCACGGGGCACAGTCGTCTAAGGCGCCGCGATTCGCTGTGCAGAGTTGCGTCCCTTGGGCACGCCAGAAACCTATGATTGTGGGTTCGAATCCCGGTTCGCCCCGATTATGTTTCTAGGTTTGTCAGCACCATACCCGTGCTCGTGGGTTTCACCGAAGTGGTAAACGTCTGAGACCTGCATCACTTCGGGCTTTCCTCCCACATTAAGCTGACACGCCGTGATATAACTGGAATACTGTTAAAAGCGGCGTTAAACCTAACTCACTCACTCACTCATGCTGCGAAAATTAATGTTTGTTTGTATTAATATCTTTGGGGTAATGTTACTTTTCAGGGCATTGTCATTTGCAGAGACCCGAGGTCTGCATTAACTGCCCGTGTGAAACACATTTCTGGTGTACCCCGCCGTGATATTGCTGGAATATTGCTAAAAGCGCCGTAAAACCATATTCACTCACTCATTAACTGCTCGACGAAGGCAGTTGGACAGACCGAGAGCTTCTGCACATGGTACTGGCCTGAAAATAACGTTACCGTCATAAGACTAAAATGGATAAGAGTTGATCTTCAGCAACCCATGCTTGTCGTAAGAGACGACTAACAGGATCGGGTGATCAGGCTCGCTGACTTGGTTGATGCATGTCATGGTATCCCAACTGCCTAGATCGGAGTTCATGATGTCATTCACTGGTTTTTCTGGTGCAAAGTTGATGATTTACACCTCACCATCATATAGCTGGAATATGCTGAGTGCGGCGGTAAATAACAAACAAACATTTTTAGGTAAATTGGATCGGGTGTATAAATTGTCTGACTTTGTCATCGTGCCCTGATGAGGTGTATCATGCTTGTGAGTCGGATCAGACATGTTTCCTTGCAGGCCGTTGTGACGAGGCTTGACTATGGCTGACTAACAGAACTCACAATCTCATATAGTTCATTCACAGTAACCAGACCTTTCTTTGTCACAAATAATGTAACCAGCACTACAGCACCGTCGCCGGATATACATCACACTTGGTCATATTACCAGCTTGTCATTTTATAGAAGTGCCACTATGGATAAATATTTCTAGCACAGCTTTACAATCCGCGTAAGTGACGCAATGTTTGTGTTCACAGTTTCTTCTAGCGACGAGGCTCAAGAGGAATCGGAAAGTGAGGGTCTAGATGAATGTGTTTCGCTCTCGGATACGCTTGACGGTTTGTATTGTTAACCCTAGATCTTCTGTCACATATGCCCCCTGTCGGAAAGTACCATGGGTGAAATATATTCTGATAGCATCAACATTTAAAATCAACCACAATCTACTGTTTCCTAAGAGGTGAAATGGGATTTAACGTCGCGTCCAAGATTATTAGACTTACACAGCGACTTGCATGCGACGTGTGTGTGTGTGTGTGTTGCTGTTTGTACTAGTCCGGACTGACGCCGATTTATAGTGCTAGCTCACTATGCCGCGGTTTAACATGAATACCCCACTCAGACACAGTACACTGACTCCCTGCCGACTAGTTATTGTTTAAGTCCCATAATGCAGAGCGCCAGACAGGGTAACAACAAGAACCATCTTTTATATGACGCGGCCGGGGATCGAACCCAGGACCTTACGCTCTCCGGGCGGACGCTCTACCACTAGACCACGGAGGCGGTCTCAGAAGAGTGAATGGGTGAGTAGGGTTTACTGCTCATTATAGAATACTGTGACCATATCACGCTTGGAGACACACCTATTCTACCTATTCTACCTGTTCTATCCATCTTATATAACGAACCCGGATCTCCAGTGAACCACTAAACTACCCCAAAGACACTACCTTTATGGGAATAGCCCGGGTCACATAATATAAATACAAGTGCCTATATCTATGTCAAAATCGTTATTGCCGGAACCGACCATTATGACGGCATCACATGTTCTGAGGTCATTATCACAATCGTAATTGCTTTATAGATATATAATTTCAAAGTTTATTTCATTTCATTTTGGTTTTCAAGAATACAATATGTCCGAGAAACAGTTTCGTATATTTTTTCAGATACTGATGGAGCATTTACAAAGTATATCAGGAGATTTCGAGAGTAAGCGGAATCCATTATTTACAACCAAACGTTACCTTAAATTCACCAGTGAAGATCCGGGGTAGAATTGGTCTTCATGATCAGCAACCCATGCTTGCCGTGACAGGTGACTATGCTTCTCGTAAGAGGCGACTAACGGGATCAGGTGGTCAGGCTCACTGACTTGGTTGATGTGGTCCTGTTAACCGAATACAGTGTTTCTGTTAACCGAAGACAGTGGTTCAGTTAACCCAATACAGTGGTTCAGTTAACCCAATACAGTGGTTCTGTTAACCGATGACAGTGGTTCAGTTAACCCAATACAGTGGTTCAGTTAACCCAATACAGTGGTTCTGTTAACCGAAGACAGTGGTTCAGTTAACCCAATACAATGGTTCAGTTAACCCAATACAGTGGTTCAGTTAACCCAATACAGTGGTTCAGTTAACCCAATACAGTGGTTCAGTTAACCCAATACAGTGGTTCTGTTAACCGAAGACAGTGGTTCAGTTGACCCAATACAATGGTTCGGTTAACCCAATACAGTGGTTCTGTTAACCCAATACAGTGGTTCAGTTAACCAAATACAGTGGTTCTGTTAACCCAATACAGTGGTTCAGTTAACCCAATACAGTGGTTCTGTTAACCAAATACAGTGGTTCAGTTTACCCAATACAGTGGTTCAGTTAAATAAGTTTAAAGATAAAGGGGTAAAACATGCCGCAGATACCACATGTAATTTTAACGTTTTCAAAATCAATAAACATTTCCAAGCAACGTGTGTTCCACAGAATCTTCAAGCCTCATCGTCGAGCAAAGAAGCTATCAGAAATGCAACCTGTTCACCACAAGGAAAATGGCGATGAGTACGACTTCACCTACCCCGAGAGGGGAATGGCGGTCATTATCAATAACAAGACGTTTGGCCCTGAATCTGGAATGCGCAATAGAAAGGGATCTGATCTGGATGCGTCAAACCTTAAGAACATGTTCCAAAGGTTAGGATTCAAGGTTCTACGCTGTGACAATCTAACGAAAGACGAAATGGTTCGCACTCTCCTGAAAGGTAGGTGGTTTGGATATCCCATTGTCGTGCTCCATCGTGAAATGTTGAACAAGGTTTGTTTGTTTGTTTGTTTGTTTGTTTGTTTGTTTGTTTGTTTGTCATTTAACGCCGCACTCAGCAATATTCCATCTAAATGACGGCGGTCTGTAAATAATCGAGACTGGACCAGACAATCATGTGATTGACATCATGAGCATCGATCCACGCAATTGGGATACAATGACATGCATCAACCAAGTCAGCGAGCCTGACCACCCGATCCCGTTAGTCTCCTCTTACGACAAGGATAGTCGCCTTAGGTGATGAGGCTGACATGTATTTGGGCAAACGATTAAGAATCAAACTAAATATCTGATTTGTTTGTTTGTTTGTTTGTAAATGGAAATGCATGCTGGCTATCATATACTGAACAAAGAAGTAAGGGCTCATGGACATTTTTGGATATATATTTGTAGTGAAGACTGAGCCTACCAGTTTTTGAAAATATCCTCCCAAAAATAATACCTAACTTTTTTGGATTCAGTATAAATACAATGATCTATAAGATGTTCTCGTTGATGTTTATGTGGAGGAAAATTATTGGAACAAAGCTTTTGATATGGGAGTAGATATAGTCTCCAAATGACTAAATTCGATTAAATCCCTTTCCCTGAATCCTCCCCAAGGGATTTCACATGGAACTGTGGATGTTTATATCTATGCAGATAATGCTAACCTGTTTCCAACAGTTGCCAGCAACAAGCAATACAACCACACCAAGGCTGACTGCTTCGCTTGTGCAATTCTGTCCCATGGCGCTTATCAAGAGTTGGAAGAACCACCATCTGCTGTGAAGTCGCGACAGGATATCATCTACGGCGTGGACGGTCGGAGCGTCACCACCAGACACCTCGTCAGCATCTTCAACGACGAGTGCTGCCCTGAACTGGAAGGGAAACCAAGGCTCTTCTTCATACAGGTACCGTACCTGTTGTAACTCGTGTACTGTTCCACTGAGTGAAAGATGAGGGAGTTCTGATGTAGGGTAATTTCTATTTCAACTTAGGTTGTGTTTGTCCTGCACTACATGCAATATAGTGTTGACCCAGGAAGATTCCGGGGTAGAATAGGTCTTCAGCAACCCATGCTTGCCGTAAAAGGCGACTATGCTTGTCGTAAGAGGCGACTAACGGGATCGGGTGGTCAGGTGCGCTGACTTGGTTGATGCATGTCATGGTATCCCAATTGCGTGAATCGATGCTCATGATGTCAGTCACAATTCTGGTCCAGACTCGATTATTTACAGACCGCCTACATATAGCTAGAATTTTGCTGAGTGCGACGTTAAACAACAACAACAAAAACAACAATATAGTGCTACACCACTTGGGTGAATGTGTACAGCATAGTAAGGGTAATAGCCGAGGGTAGGGTAACTGAACCATTACGTTTCCAGTGTCTTTGGTCATATTTTTCGTCTCTGTCAGGCATGTCGAGGAACAAGAACAGATGCGGGTGCCTATTTAGCTGTTATGGGGACAGGGGCTCAGCCAACAACTCAAGGTGCTCGTTCAGACAAAGGTGCAAGTGATGCAGTTCCCAACTCATATAATCAGCCAGGACAAAAGGATATGTCACATGACAAAAAACCGAAGTTGGACGAAGAAGAAGTAGATAGAGGACAATCAGGGTACCCAGCTCAAGGGCCCGTCTTCTCCATCTCGCCCTGTCCCATCTACAAGGACTTCCTTCTGATGTACGCAATCCCTCCAGGTAAGATCGAGCGGAACAGCACTCTCACACCTATATAGACCATATTTGCACCTCCAGGTGAGATCAGCAATCTCAGCTTTACCCAACTTTTTATATACGGACCATCTTTACATTTCCAGGTAAGATAAGCAATGTCAGCTTCACCCATCTACATGTATATACTCACCGCCAAAAGAAACGCGAATCAAAGAAACATATAAGCTGAGGTGAAATTGGGTTTAACGTCGCGTCCAAGATTATTGCACTTATATAGCGACGTGCATGCACGTGTGTGTGTGACTGCTTGTTCTAGTCCGGACTATGCCGGTTTGTGCTAGCTCACTGAGATACCATGCCGCAGTTTAACATGAATACCCCACTCAGACACAGTATACTGACTCCGAGCCGACCAGTCCTTGTTTTAGCCCCTTTTATGCCGAGCGCCAGACACGGTAACAACAAGTACCATCTTTTAACGTCTTTTGGTATGACGCGGCCGGGGATCGAACCCTGAACTTTCCGCTCTCCGGGCGGACGCTCTACCACTTGACCACGGAGGCGGTCAGAAATATATAGAGGCGTATGTACGTTATGAAGAGATGTTTCCAGTGTGTACCAATTAATGACAAAACTAACAACCAGTGAAGTGTTACCATGCTGCACGTGATTATCAAACTTGATACGCGAATCCTGCACGAGACAAGTGGTGCGTCTCGAGTCATGGATCTATCACGTCACATGTGATGCGTTCATAAAGGTCGATTCACCCAACATAGCACTATGTCGGTTTGCGCATCGAAACTAATCTAATATCTATTGAATATGAGTATTTTTTCATGTATAAACCACCGTATATGGTACTCTCGCTCATTTGTCTGTAAGTGTATATGGGTCATCTTTACATCTCCAGGTCATATAAGCAATTTTCAGTCAGTATACAGTCCGTTTGACTCCAAATGAGAACGATGAATTGCAAAATAACTCGAAATTCAGAAAAGTGTATGAAACATCAATACGGTACTTGACCATGAATACCCTGTACCCAAGAAAATCTGAATTTTGTTTATTTTAAGATCCATGACGGATGAAGTTCTTTAAGAAACTATCATGTAATTTTGTATAGAAATGTGTACATGACACGTAGGGGGGACAAACCGTGGAAGGAACTCTCTTGCCTCGGGAAGATGATGCATGGCCTGATTATAAGCATTAACTGTAACATATATATCAGCTTTGTATCGTCAGGTCATGTTTCTCAGGTGATTAAAAGTGCTATCGACAACTGTTGAAAGGCATCTTTTAGGTATGATACATATTTTTTTAATTCGATAAAAGGGGCGGTCGGGTAGCCTAGTGGTTAAAGCGTTCGCTCGTCACGACGAAGACCCGGGTTCGATTCCCGACATGGGTTCAATGTGTGAAGCCCATTTCTGGTATCCCCCGCCGTGATATTGCTGGAATATTGCTAAAAGCGGCGTAAAACCATACTCACTCACTCACTAATTCGATAAAACACACAAAAAGTTTAAGGTTGTATTGTTGAAGGGTTCTTCGCATGGCGGAACAAGGACACGGGAGCTTGGATGATGCAGTGCCTCGCGTCTGTTCTGCAGGAGAAAGATATCCATGACACACCATTAACGACACTTCTTACTAGAGTCAGTCACCTGATGACACAGTTTGAGTCCCAAACCGACAACCCAGAGGACGATAAAAAGAAGGCTGTTCCTTGTGTCATGTCCATGCTGACCAAGGCAGTTTACTTCAGAGACAAAGCTGTGCCCCATTAAATACTACAACCATAGAATTGGTCATTTTGTGTGACAATATATCCTTTCAATTGTCTTATTAAGGCATGTAATTTTCAGATATCTGGACATTCGTGATCATGCCTAAATTTCAGTACAGCTGTGTTTATTTTCAGGGCAACCATACTGTGAGACATTGGTACTCAATTTAATCTCATTGTACCAAACATTCACGATACCAAAATAGCCTTCATTGAAGTGAATATTTCCCTTTAGCACTGCACATGTTTTTTTGTTTGGTTGGTTGGTTTGTTGGTTGGTTTAACGACGCGCTCAGGATATTTCAGATTGATATTATGAGCAACGTCCAACGCTGTCAGGATACGAAGACACGCGTTCAACCAAGTAACGACCCTGATCACCACAAGACAAATATTGGTTGCTAGGTTCCTGTTCCAACCCGGTATATCCACGGGACGTAAGGGTGTGAGGCATCAAACCTGGATATTCTATGTGATGAGCGAACACTCTAACCACACCACCACCCCTACTTACCCTGCAGCTCCTCTCGATACTGCCACAGAGCCATGTCATGAGGAAATATTTAACACCTGCTCGCCAACAGCAATAAAATAAAGTCTATGGACAGATTTATGGCGGAGACAAGGGCAAGGGCAAAATGGGAGTTAACACTCTCATACTTCAACACATTGTATTGCAGTGAGTACATCGCCAATGACAACTGTATTTAAGAAACAGAAATCTTCCTGTTCTGGCCTAAACTTATCTGACTGATAACAAGTTGTTTATAGAACCCTGGTAGATATGAAAATGTCAAGGTGAAATAGAATGTTCCAACATTGTGACACGAATTTCATTTTTCACTTGTTTGATAAGTATTTACTTAGATAAGTATTTGTATCATACATTGGTGTTAAGAATTGTCATGCATAACTTGTTCCACAACCGGCCATCAAGACGTATGTGTAAATGCGTAAAGATTTTTCACAGTGGCTTCCTGATCACTGAACAAAGGATTGAGTGATTGATGATTGATGTTATAAAAATTACATTGAAGTCGAAGATACGTTTGAATTATGTCCTGAACTGATAAAATGTATTACTTTTAAAAATTGAATACATGACACCGCTATGGATATATCCTTCCCTTTTTTTTCCTTCCTGTTTAGTCCCGTTTGGTTTTTGTTCAATCTCATTAAAATTAGATCTAAGTTCACGCTGCCGCAAAACAAAGATCTGAGGACATCCCATTACGGGCCGGGTCACGTCAGAACGACCTTTCGCGAACCTTGACCGACCACTGAAATGACTAACAAGAAGTTGACATCAGCCAAAGCAGCTTTCTCGAGCTTCCATTTCCACTTCCATTTCAGACTACGCTTGAAAAATATGTTGACACAGTTCTCGATTAAAAATTTGAAAACTGAACAAACGAACATTTCGCAATGTCTAATATATGGTTGAGATTGTATGGCAGTTTTTCCCACGTACTGCGCAACGCATCCTCCGTTCAAATGTTTATCCCACAGAAGTGAGAGATCGACGATAATTTTGACGGAATCAGTAGTACGGTCCGTAACTATCGTTCGGAATACGCCGTGTTAACATTTTAGAGGTTGCATGATTAGAAAACACATTCCGACTGTCACTTTCCTTATTTGGTAAGCGACGCTTTGATTGGTCGGATGAAAGGTCGTTCTGACGTGACACGTAATGGGATGTCCTCAGATCTTTGTTTAGCGGCAGCGAGAACTTGGATCTGATTTTAATGAGACTGTTTTTTTAAATCTTTTTCATTATATCCATATCAACCGTTATCATCGGTGCGATGGTGCAAACCCTCCCCACCACGCATCCCGAAATGAAGAATAGTGAGTGAGTGAGTATAGTTTTACGCCGCTTTTAGCAATACTGCAGCAATATCACGGCTTCACACATTGTACCCATGTCGGGAATCGAACCCGGGTCTTCGGCTTGACGAGCTAACGCTTTAACCACAAAAGTACTTTAGGCTACCCGACCGCCCCGAAATGAAGTATTGCTTCAAAACACATCTTGATTTGTTGTTTAACGGCGCACACAGCAATATTCTAGCTATATGACGGCAGTCTGTAAATAATCGAGTTTGGGCCAGACAATCCAATGACAGACGTCATGAGCATTGATCTGCGCAATTGGGATACGCTGACAAGCATTAACCAAGTCAGCGAGCCTTTCCATTCGATCCCGTTAGTCGCCTCTTACGACAAGCATTGGTTGCTGAAGATCAATTCTAACACGGATCGTCACGGATCAAGATCAATTTTAACCCGGGTCTTCACGGGTCAAGACCGATTCTAACCTTGATCTTTGGGTTCAAGACCAATTCTAACCCTGATCTTCACGGATCAAGATCAATTATAACCCTGATCATCACGGGTTCAATTCTCACGGGTTCGAACTACACCTTATGCAGTAGAGACTCTGGTGTGTCAGTTGACAATACGAGCTCCTGTCATACAGCCTATGAATTTATTTAAATCAACATGCTTGTATCTTACCTGTAGTAAGAGTTTATGCCATGTGAATAAGGTTACGAATGGAGGTTCATTCCAAGCGCTGCTTATCCAACAGCGACGCTTATATACGTACGGGTCTTCGGCTTGACGAGCGAACGCTTTAACCACAAAAGTACTTTAGGCTACCCGACCGCCCCGAAATGAAGTATTGCTTCAAAACACATCTTGATTTGTTGTTTAACGGCGCACACAGCAATATTCTAGCTATATGACGGCAGTCTGTAAATAATCGAGTTTGGGCCAGACAATCCAATGACAGACGTCATGAGCATTGATCTGCGCAATTGGGATACGCTGACAAGCATTAACCAAGTCAGCGAGCCTTTCCATTCGATCCCGTTTGTCGCCTCTTACGACAATCATTGGTTGCTGAAGATCAATTCTAACACGGATCGTCACGGATCAAGATCAATTTTAACCCGGTTCTTCACGGGTCAAGACCGATTCTAACCTTGATCTTTGGGTTCAAGACCAATTCTAACCCTGATCTTCACGGATCAAGATCAATTATAACCCTGATCATCACGGGTTCAATTCTCACGGGTTCGAACTACACCTTATGCAGTAGAGACTCTGGTGTGTCAGTTGACAATACGAGCTCCTGTCATACAGCCTATGAATTTATTTAAATCAACATGCTTGTATCTTACCTGTAGTAAGAGTTTATGCCATGTTAATAAGGTAACGAATGGAGGTTCATTCCAAGCGCTGCTTATCCAACAGCGACGCTTATATACGTACATTTACGTGCTAATTTTAAAGGTCGCTGGGGTTTTAAAGTCCTAGCTGCTAGTTATAACACCGGTGTCGACTGCAGAAAGGGAATTCAACTAATATAGCTAATTTTCATAAAAATAGTACTTTTTTCAGTCTTGTCGGTAGGCATATTCAAATAATTATATCTACAATTATTAGTTACAAAATGCAAACTTGCGGTTACTACAATATTCAAAGGATGTGTGGCAATACATTTCGTGCAGAAAACGCGATATAAGTCTAATAAGAGAATGTATTTTAAGTTTTGAGGACAACAGAGAGCTTGAATTTGGTGCTTTTCTATATACGACTGTGACGTCATATCTTTTGCGCTGCGCGTTCGGTTCCAATTCAATTTAGCGCGGTTTAATCTACAGGTAACCTAGCTCTACATTGTAAACACAGTATGTTTATCTCCTTATTATATAACGGATGCGGCAACGTTGACGCGATATGGTGAATGACGTAAACGCGCAAGCTATTACAACACAAATCTTGGATCATAAAAAGAGATAGAAAAGTGATACAATGTTTGTACCTAAACTGCACTGGGTACATTTCGGTGGTACCACGGTCGAGATAGACCCCACAACAGCATAAGTTTGCTGTAGGCCGAGTCCGACTCGTACTTGTCCCAAACCAGGTCGAGGAAAGTGACAATCTCATTAAAATCAGACCTTTGTTCTCGCTACCGCTAAACAAAGATCTGAAGACATCCCATTAGGGGTCACGTCAGAACGACCTTTCATCCGACCAATCAGTGCGTCGCTTACCAGATTATGAAAGTGACAGTCGGAATGTGATTTCTAGTCATGCAATCTCGAAAACTTTAACATGGTGTATTCGGAACGATAGTTACGGGTTTAACGACTGAATCCTTACAATATAGACCATCTATTAGCCCTTCCAGAATGTTTTTTGTTCAGGTTTAAAATTTGTAATCGAAAATTTGTCAAAATATGTCTCGAAGCGGAGTCGCCAATTTGAAATTTGTGCCGTAGGCAAGAAAAAACTGCCTTCTGATTGGTCATTCGATTGGTCGGTCAAAGTTCGCGCAAGGTCGGCCTGACGTGACCCGTAATGGGATGTCCTCAGATCTTTGTTTAGCGGAAGCGAGAACAAAGATCTGATTTTAATGAGATTGAGGAAAGTGACCACGGCAGTTCATGTAGATATCTTCCTGTACGAACGTTTCCTTGTATTAAGCGTATGTTGCGAGTACTGTATATCAAACCTCATTTAGCAATATCCAAGCCATATCGCGGCACGGCATATATGCGGAATCGAAACCGGGTTTGCCGCCACGGACGATTCAACGCTTCAACCGCTTGACAAACCCTCAGTTCCCTGTGATATCACCAAGGCAATACCGTTTCAATTTCCTGAAAAGAAAGGGTTTGTCGATCAAAGATTATATTGATATACAGTAGTAGGATCATTTAGTTGGATATACACTAGCAGCTTCTTTGAGTTGGTCACCCGTAAAGATCCGGGCCAAAATAGTTGTTCAGCAACCCATGCTTGCCGTCACATGAGACTGCTTGTCGTAAGAGGTGACCAAAACGAGATCGGGTGGTCAGGCTCGCCGACTTGATTGATGCATGTCATCGATCCCAAATGCGTAGATCGATGCTCATGATATCAATCACTGGATTGTCTGGTTCAGACTCGATTATTTGCAGACCTCCGTCTAATAGCTGGAATACTGCTGAGTGCGGCGTCAAACAACAAACAAACATTGAGTTGGATGATACCCGTGTATGTTAACACCTATAACTCCTCACGAAGTATGAGTAAGCACTCTTATGCAGTAGCAACTTTCTTCTCGGTGTCCCTCAGTTAAGGACTATAGTTCGTTGAATTTAGTCATTTAATAAACTAGAATATTGCATAACAGATAACAGAAATCAATGACGTAGTTTGAAAGCAAGGTCGACAGTCAGCACTATTTTGGAGACATGTTTGACCTAGTTTTGATGCGCCGCGGCGCAGTCGAGACAGACAACTCCTAAGTAATATACACACCCATTTGTGTACAAGTACTAGGAATAACGGCTCCTTAAAGAGTGTTATCATATCTTTTATGTAGGAGTTTTATAAGTTTTATATCCTGACTTCATAGATCCGCTCGACGCGCTATTCTACTGCACTTGGCAAACCGGGAGAGCCCTTGCGGCTAAACATTGTCAGCAGAAGCAAGGACGGGTCAAATTGCACGTGTGAGCATCTCACTATAGCAGGTAGGTAACCATTGTTGTTGTTAATTAACAGCTGATTAAATGGTGTTTATGCTGATACTGTGAATGGCATACATGTGTAAATTGTGTCTACAAAGTATATATTTGTTTCAGAAGTCAGATATCACCTTATAGTATTCGATAGTGAGCCGGTATGGAGTCGTCTGGTGAGTGTTGTGTACGTCAGGAGTTGTAAACTTCAACTTGTCTGGTACGAGTGTCACCTTCGACACTGTGTCTTCCGAGTCCCCGTACGTGATACAATAACAATGTTACATGACTGTACAACTACAAAATAGAATGTCAGGGTTGTGTTTTGCACCCAATGCCACCTGTGTTATAACGAGAGTTGTAAGTATAAAAGCTTATTTCCTATTGACAGTAGACAGAGACGAGACTCCGGCAGTAGCGAAACGCGAGGCTCCAGATGAATGGGTCTCGCTCGCCGCCTCTAAAGACGGTGAGTGACAGTCGTCAAAAAAAGGTGGCGCCTGCGGTGAGGGTGGGGTGGGGAGGGGAGGGGAGTGGAGGGGTTGAGGCTTGACGAGTGTATCTGACTTTGCACACGTGTGTGTGTGCGCGTGCGTGCGTGTGTGTGTGTGTGATAGTGCTATTGTTATAACTATTTATACTCACTGTTATGAAGCCAAAGTTGTATTTATTCAAACAAAAATGTTGGATGAATTTTTTTAATATTTCTTTTTACAAAATATATGTTTCCATACTTTTTCAGGCACTGGTGTACCATCATTTGAAAACTACTACAGCAAAATTCAAGAGTAAGTTGATGCAACTATATACATTTACCCATTTATTTCACCTATAAGGGACCAGTTACTTATTACAGGGTGGGTGGTCAGAGGTATGCAAATCACTAATGTACTGAAAACAAGCACCCTCTCTCAAGGCTTAAAAATAAAAAGAATTGGTTCTCAGGCAGTGGTTATATAAAGCAAAGTGCGGGCAGGCGGTGTCTTTTTTTGTGTGAGGTTGTTGAAACTAGTATGTAACCAATTAAAGTTGTGTAGTCAAAAAACAATGGTGTACAATCAACCTGGAAAAGGGCCTCCCTATATCAATGTATTCCTTGATGAGTAAAATACTGGAATACAGTATTTGACTACCGTTAGACTTGAAAGATTTGAGGATTTTTTTAAATGGAAATAAAAACAAACGTGCAGCAAGCTTTATGATGATGCTGGCGGAGCCTGAGAACCAAGACTATTATATTTTTTTAGCCTAATACTTGTCATATTGTAGGATGACCCTCCATGTGTCCTTGCACACTTTTTTCTCAACCCTGCCCAGATATGTGCATTATATTTATTACCTCCCCCTAGAGTGAGTGAGTGAGTATGGTTTAACGCCGCTTTTAGCAATATTCCAGCGATATCAGGGTGGAGGACACCTTAAATGGGCTTCACACATTGTACCCATGTCAGGAATCGAACCCAGGTTTTTGGCGTGACGATCGAACGCTTTAACCACTAGGCTACCTGACCGCCCCTCCTCCTCCTCCTCCTCCCCCCTAGAGACTATTTTGGGTGACCCTCCCTTCATTCCACTTGATCCACCCCCTACTTATGACTTAATGTATGTGTAAAATTCAAATTAACCATTACTTGGAGTTCAGTATCAAAATGTATACCTATTAAATAGTCCTGGTAGGGGTAGAAAAGGTCTTCAGCAACCCATGCTTGCCATAAGAGGTGACTATGCTTGTCGCAAATGGCGATTAATGGGATCGGGTGGTCAGGCTCGCTGACTTGGTTGATGCATGTCATCAATCCCAATTGCGTGGATCAATGCTCATGACATTAATCACTGGATTGTCTGGTCCAGGCTTGATTATTTACAGACCGCCATCATATAGCTGGAATATTGCTGAGTGCGGCGTTAAACAACAAACCAACCAACCAACCAATCCTATCAGAAGTGAGTTCCCCAACTAATCACAATGGTCGCTTTTCAATGCAGTCATTCTACAATAAAAGTGTTTACCATTAGTATTGATTGTGTCTATGTATGTTATATCCATATTCACTGACTAAACACACCTATTGCGATTATTATGAGGGACTCATTATTGTCCTATTTTTGTCAAATTAACCTAGTCTATCTCACTGATGGGGGGCGGTCGGGTAGCCTGGTGGTTAAAGCGTTCGCTCGCCACGCCGAAGACCCAGGTTCGATTCCCAACATGGGTACAATGTGTGAAGCCCATTTCTGGTGTCACCCGCCGTGATGTTGCTGGAATATTGCTCACTCACTCACTATCTCACTGATGCCACCCTGAAGGTCAACACTGCTGTTGGTTTGTCCGCGTCAAGTCCGAGACCCCATTATAAATAGTCTCAATGATGCTGAGATGAACATATACAAATTCACCATTAACAGCTCAGATATATAATTACACCTGTGTTCTATCAATCAGTTGCAATAAAAACAGATAGTCATGTTTGTATAGATCTCTGAGAAGCCAATGAAGAAATACATCTTAATGTCAAGTAACGTTTCTTCTGCAGAACCTTTACCCCGCTAACACGAGCAAAGAAACTTGTAAGAAAAGAGACAGCTTCACCCGAGAATGACAGCAACAAGTATGACTTCACCTACCCAAAGAGGGGATTGGCAGTTATTATCAATAACGAAGAGTTTGATCCCAAAACTAAATTTGGAAACAGAAACGGCTCGACAAAGGATGCTATGAACCTTAAGAAGATGTTCGAACATCTGGGATTTGAAGTCCTGCTTCGTAACAACCTAACTGGAGAAGAAATGGTAAAAACTCTCCAGAAAGGTATTTTAGTATATCTCTATTTGCTATGACCCTTTATTAATTATAAATGAGTTATTCTGTGACTATTTACGAGAAGGTAATATGAACATGAGTGCCAGATTTGTCCACGATCTCAATTTGAATGATTAATAAGAGACCTATATATATAAATACTTGGTATATATACTACTCAGAAGAAGTTGAGGAACTCCCATTTGTTTCAAATGACTATAGTTTATCTGTCATGGCCAGGAACAAATTTCACAGTTTTACTCTATGCACATTAGGTATTTCCTGTGTGCTGATTGGGTCACAACATTAACTGCTTGCACTGGAAAAGGTGTGATGCAGGAATAAAAAAAAAATGTATGGGGGCGGAAGTCAGAGGGAATCAGGGAAGGTGAGGTGAGGTGAAATGGGGTTTAACGTTGCATCAGAGATTATTGCCCTTATATAGCAACGTGCATGCACATGTGTGTGTGTGTACTGGTCTGGACTGATGCCGATTTACAGTGCAAGCCCACTGAGATACTATTATGGTGATCACAAGTTATGATCGAACCCTGGACCTTCCGTTCTCCGGGCAGACATTCTATATTGGAGGGTCATGCAATAATGGACTTTTTATAATAAAATATTAAGTGCTTTATCATTTTGTCTTTTCGGGGAGGGTCATGAAAGAAATGAACAAGGACATGGGGAGGGTCATAAAAAGATATGACAAGCATGTTCAGTACATTAGAGCATCAAAACCCTCTGACCAACCCACCCCTGCAATAAATGACACGCCCCTTAATGGGTCGATTAAATTGTGTCATGAATGACAAGGAATAGGAAGTGCTGGAACACGTGGGTTTGTGAATCTTTTCTCTTCTATGAACGTTACTACAAGCAGCCTCAAACTTCACTCCCTCCTTCACACAGTCGTTCAATCAACACTGGCATGGATGTGGAATGAAACTGTTCCCTGGGTAGTCAAGTGCAAGTTGTGTTGAAATGTCCAGTTGTAAAATGTAACATTCGTTGATCTACAAAGCTGAAAATTGGTGCTTTTTGTCTCCCTGGCACGCAGCATTCTGAGCATAAAGTGTACTGTAAATCTGTGTTAAAGTGTGGTTGTTACCATGGTTACCATGGTCATTACAACAAGATTGGTTTGGGCATGTGGGTGGTCACGCGAACATAGATATTCATATTCAGCAGCCATTCTGGCTACACAATCCTCATTTTGATTGACTTTTAGAAAATGCATAGGCTACTGGAGACCTAAAGTATCCCAGAATAGAAACAAAGCATTTGAACAACGGGGTGAGAGAGTGAGATTTTATGTCGCTTTTAGCCATATTCCAGCAATATCACAGCAAGGGACACCAAAAATGGGCTTCACACATTGTACCCATGTCGGGAATCGAACCCGGGTCTTTGGCTAGACGAGTGAACGCTTTAACCACTAGGCTACCCGACTGCCCTTTTCGGGTAGTAGGGTGGGGGGAGAGGATATATCCAAAGCGGTGTCATGTATTCAATTTATAAAAGTAATACATTTGATAAGTTCAGGACTTATTTCAAACGTATCTTCGACTTCAATGTAATTTTTATAACATCAGTCATCAATCACTCAATCTTTTGTTCAGTGATCTTAAGCCACTGTGAAAAATCTTTACACATTTACACATACGTCTTGATGGCCGGTTGTGGAACAGACATTTTGACGTTCTTCACAAGAATCTGCTGAGTAATAGCTATCTAATTAGCTAATATAAACCTTTATACCCATCACTGACCAACCTATCATCTTTAGCTGCCTGTAAAATGTGTGCTAGTCACAGTGTGCCATTGTGATTTAACATTGTAACTCACTCACTCACTCACTCTTAAGTTGCCAGCAACATCGACTACGACCACACCCAGGCTGACTGCTTTGCTTGTGCTATCCTGTCGCATGGAGATAATGAAGACTTTCCACCCTTACAACCACCCTACGATGCTATGCTGCGACACGACATCATCTACGGCGTGGACGGCACGATAGTCCCCACACGATTCCTCATTGCCAACTTCAATGACGAGTGCTGCCCTGAACTGGAAGGGAAGCCAAGACTCTTCTTCATACAGGTACAAGACATTGCAATATGTCCTTTAGTATTGTCAAACAACTTGGTCAGATTTTTGTATATGTAGAGAATCTCACCCTCGTGTCTTTTGATATCAAATATATCAACACGAGTTGATAAAAGTGGAAAAACTCTGAGGCTTGCCAAATTTTTCCACTTTTATCAACCAGTGTTGATATATTTTATATCAAAAGACACGAGGGTGAGATTTTATTTATCATCCATCATCATTCTTCCAACTTTTTCAGTTTGTAGACAGTAATAAGCAGTGTCTTAATTGTAAAAAGTGCTGCTTAGGGCTTCAGTAGCAGAGCCATTAGTGATGTCATTTGATTGTGACGTCATGGTAACCAATGACGTCACAATGGTCTGCAAAGCATTGTGATGCAATTTCATTGCAGCGATATAAACAATGTAGATATCGCTTGATCTCACCCAAGGATATCTCCTGTGGGAGCCAGTTTTGGATGATAGAACCCCTTGCCCTTTTTCAGCTTGTACTGGAGGTTTACCTAGTGAGTTCTTTGACAAGACTTCATGAAATTTGTGGTAATCATATTATTGTAAGATTATGATCCTAAAATCTTAGGTGTGTAAGGTATTGTTTAAATAACAAGATTTGACATGGAGAGAGGCTGCCTTAGCTACTAATACTACTTCCCTAAAAAAATGAGATGTGGTTTGACATTGATAGAATTACAATACAATGCTTAAAGCATCAGTTTCAATCAAACAGATAGTACATCTTATTAAAGGTCAAACATTCATTTTCAGGCATGTAGAGGACGAGACTTAGATGATGGCATGGATATAACTGTTCTGAGGCCAAAGGTTCAGTTAAAGAATGTAAGTGCTGGTTCAGGTCAAGACACAGGTGATGCACTTCCTGAGTTACCGCTAGAAGCATTACAGCTTGAAGGAAAGTCAGATACAGAGGAAGGGAAGTCAGATACAGAGGAAGGGAAGTCAGATAAAGCGGAAGGGAAGTCAGATACAGAGGAAGGGAAGTCAGATACAGAGAAAGGGAAGTCAGATACAGAGGAAGGGAAGTCAGATACAGAGGAAGGGCTGGCTCAGACCAAAGAGAGAGGAGAATCAGGAAACACAGTTCCTCAGTATGTCTACACCATCTCTCCATCGCCCATCTACAAGGACTTCCTTCTTATGTATGCCACCCCACCAGGTAAGATCTTGCAGACTCTTCACCTTAGTCCGTCTGAAAGGTTGCCCCTTAACACATCATGATAAAAGAGTGCATGATGTTTCACATCAGGCTGAGAAGGACTTCTCAAAGGTCAATCTGCTGGGACCTGTCTAATGTTGTCTGCTGGCCACTGGCCCCAGGCCTATGATCAGTGTACCAGCTAGGACCTGGCTGATGTCTGCTGGCCACTGACCCCAGAACTATGATCAGTGTACGAGCTAGGACCTGGCTGATGTTGTCTGCTGACCACAAACCCCAGACCTATGATCTGTGTACCAGCTAGGACCTGGCTGATGTCTGCTGGCCACAAACCCCAGACCTATGATCTGTGTACCAGCTGGGACCTGGCTGATGTCTGCTGGCCACAAACCCCAGACCTATGATCTGTGTACCAGCTGGGACCTGGCTGATGTCTGCTGGCCACAAACCCCAGACCTATGATCTGTGTACCAGCTGGGACCTGGCTGATGTCTGCTGGCCACAAACCCCAGACCTATGATCAGTGTACCAGCTAGGACCTGGCTGATGTCTGCTGGCCACAGACCCCAGACCTATGATCTGTGTACCAGCTAGGACCTGGCTGATGTCTGCTGGCCACAAACCCCAGACCTATGATCAGTGTACCAGCTAGGACCTGGCTGATGTCTGCTGGCCACAGACCCCAGACCCCAGACCTATGATCAGTGTACCAGCTGGGACCTGGCTGATGTTGTCTGCTGGCCATAAACCTGTTAGCTGTGATCTGTGTGCCAAGATGGGACATGGCTGATGTTGTCTGCTGGCCACAGACCCCAGACCTATGATCAGTGTACCAGCTGGAACCTGGCTGATGTCTGCTGGCCACAGACCCCAGACCTATGATCAGTGTACCAGCTAGGACCTGGCTGATGTTGTCTGCTCTCCACAGACCCCAGACCTAAGATCAGTGTACCAGCTGGAACCTGGCTGATGTTGTCTGCTGGCCACAGACCCCAGAATCCAGACCCCAGACCTATGATCAGTGTACCAACTGGAACCTGGCTGATGTTGTCTGCTGGCCACAAACCCCAGACCTATGATCTGTGTACCAGCTGGGACCTGGCTGATGTCTGCTGGCCAGACCTATGTGTCGATGTACTAACTGGGACCTGGATAACCCAGACCTAAAGATCAGTGTACCTGCCTTTGCTTGTTTCAGACAGAAATTTTAGCAGAGATATTGCACACTGATATATTCCTTCAAAATTTGAAGCAACTGATACACAACAGGTCTCTTTTGATTGGTAGTTAAATTGGCTTTTGCAGGGTACTTTGCATGGCGGAACAAAACAGATGGAGCTTGGATGATACAGAGCCTGACACATGTTCTCCTGGAGGAAGGTATCACTGATGTACCACTCATGAGCCTTCTCACCAAAGTCAGTCGGAGAGTGTCACGTGTCAAGTCCAATGCAAGAGGACAAATGAATAACAAGAAAGCAGTCCCTTGTGTTATGTCAATGCTCACTAAGGATGTTTATTTTACAAGCATATCTTCACCACATTAACTCTTTTATAGATTGTCTTCTGTTTTCATTGAACTATATCAATAAAACTTTCTTATCTAGAATATGATAGGGACAAAACTCTGAGACATCTGAACATTCAAGGTAACCAGACATCATCTTAAACAAAACCTCTTGCTTGCACCGGGAGTTGGCTTATCTGCTTGTTTCCAATTCACTTGTACAGTTCTATCAAAGACAAACAGTCCTTCCAAGTAAGATGCTTGACTAACGCTTTGATGTCTATCAACATTTTACTGAAGTTTACATGTAGTTTATACATTGTTACTGTTTCACAGGATATTGATGTACATCAGTGGCAAATTTAAATGGATTTCTTGTTGATGAACATAGAATTTGTACTAAAGATACCACCTACCACATACAAGATGACTTAGACATGATCTTCTGTCCTGTTTGTGTGACAGATGCCCCTTGTCATTAATGCAACTGTGATATGTACACCAATATCAATGGAATTTGGAACACGTCTTTAAAACTGGGGAACATTCTGTGTGGGATACATATCCAAACAGTTTGTCTAACTGGACCATGCACTTTTCAATCAGTATTGCTAAACAGTCTATCTGGACACAGAGCTATCCAAACATTTGGATTGGCAGGTAGACTATTTCATACATTCTCAAAATACATCAGCAAGACTATGTCCAAAGATTCAACAGTAAGTATGTGAATGTCATAATATGGATAATTTCAGAAGTTGGTTCTGTTTTCAAACTTCTGAATTCAAATTAAGGTTGATTAATATGTTCCAAGTAGGTTCAAGAGTCAGATTGCCAAGGGAGGTAATGAACACTGCACATATTTATCAGGATTACCTAACTTAGAGATTGAGTGGGAGAGTTGGGTTTAATGCCGCTTGGAACATCATTCCAGTAGCATCACAGCATGTCAGCTTGATGTTAGAAGAAAGCCTAAAGTGATGCAGGTCTCATAAGTTTACCACTTTGGTGAAACCCATTAGTAGGGGTACTGACAAACCAAGAAACATAATCTGAGCAAATCAGGATTTGACCCCATAATCATAGGCTTTGGTCCGATTCCAGGGAATGCAATTCTGCACAGTGAATTGCAGCATCTTTGATGATTGAGGCACCAAATTGTTTGATTGGTATTTCTTAGAAGTTGACGGATAACAACATCTTGGACTGTGGACAATCCTATGTAGGTGAAACATTCCCCCCCCCCCCATCAACACCAGAATCAAAGAGCACAAAACTTCAACCATCTAATCAAACAGTACATCAGCCATATCAGCAAATGCCCAAATCACAATATTAAACTAGGAAAATGCCCAAATCTTCTACAACCTCCCTGACTCCACCAAAAGAAAACTAAGAGAAGTAGTCCACATTCCCTGTCACAAGCCATCAATCAACAGAGATCAAGGCTATTTCATCCCACCTGCCTACTATGAACTCATTAAGCAATAATCACCCCACCAAATCCTGTTTAATTTGCTTCCTCATCATGTGTTCTCTGTCCATCATGTTATTACAGTATTATCCTTCTGTTATTATTTTATCTTTTTTAAAGTTAGCAGTTTTTGTTACTGTTAATCCTCAAACTACTATATATATATATTCTCATTATTCAGACTTGCTTGACAACGGTAAAAGGATCTATACCGAAACATCGCCAAAACAGTAAAATAAAGAAGTTGTTATCCATAAATTATGTCTTCTTTTGTTGGGACACCTGTTGTCCTGATTACCTGCAGTAATATAAAATGTGCAACACTGCAACCTGCACAGTAACTAAACTAAACTAAAGTCCAGGAGTTCAATAGGGGTAGATAGTGTGTGAAGTGTCATCTAATGACCTTTGGAGTGAGAGTGATTTTGGTTTTACGCCGCTTTTAGCAATATTCCAGTAATATCACGGTGGGGGACACCAGAAATGGGCTTCACACATTGTACCCATGTCGGGAATTGAACCCGGGTCTACGGCACGACGAGCAAATGCTTTAACAACAAGGCTACCCGACCGCCCCCTTTGGAACCAAGGTATAGCAGAGTTGGCATGGCATCCTGAGTTGGGTCACCTTTCCATGCGATTGCCACAATCTGCAGTATCTTCATTTTAGACACCTCTTAGAATATGAATCAGGCATCGGTCATCTCTGCCAAGTGATGGGATCTGGTGGTGTATGTTTCTAGCCTCCTCTCTGATGAACACAATCATCAAGGTGTAAATGGAAATATATGAGTATTGTTTTAAATTAAATACATGTGTGAGTGTGTACTGGAGAACTCTGTCTGTACGTATTCATATAGATTCTGTATTGTCTTGTTCATGTACAAAGTATATTGCAGAATAAAGCATATTTGTTTAAGTGGTTCTTGTTTGTATTGAAGACCTTCCCATTAGTCACCTTCATTTAAGTAGCTATGGTTGAACCCCACCTTCAGCAGCTGTATCAAAGGGGGATATAGTTCAACCCCACCTTCAGCAGCTGTATCAAAGGGGGATATAGTTCAACCCCACCTATAGCAGCTGTATCAAAGGGGGATATAGTTCAACCCCACCTATAGCAGCTGTATCAAAGGGGCATATAGTTCAACCCCACCTTCAGCAGCTGTATCAAAGGGGGATATAGTTCAACCCCACCTATAGCAGCTGTATCAAAGGGGCATATAGTTCAACCCCACCTTCAGCAGCTGTATCAAAGGGGGATATAGTTCAACCCCACCTATAGCAGCTGTATCAAAGGGGGATATAGTTCAACCCCACCTATAGCAGCTGTATCAAAGGGGCATATAGTTCAACCCCACCTATAGCAGCTGTATCAAAGGGGGATATAGTTCAACCCCACCTATAGCAACTGTATCAAAGGGGGATGTAGTTCAACCCCACCTTCAGCAGCTATATCAAAGGGGGATATAGTACAACCCCACCTTCAGCAGTTATATCAAAGGGGGATATAGTTCAACCCCACCTTCAACAGCTGTATCAAAGGGGGATATAGTTCAACCCCACCTTCAGCAGTTATATCAAAGGGGGATATAGTTCAATCCCACCTTCAGCAGCTGTATCAAAGGGGGATATAGTACAACCCCACCTTCAGCAGTTATATCAAAGGGGGATATAGTACAACCCCACCTTCAGCAGTTATATCAAAGGGGGATATAGTTCAACCCCACCTTCAGCAGCTGTATCAAAGGGGGATATAGTACAACCCCACCTTCAGCAGTTATATCAAAGGGGGATATAGTTCAACCCCGCCTTCAGCAGCTGTATCAAAGGGGCATATAGTTCAACCCCACCTATAGCAGCTATATCAAAGGGGGATATAGTACAACCCCACCTTCAGCAGCTATATCAAAGGGGGATATAGTACAACCCCACCTTCTGCAGCTATATCAAAGGGGCATATAGTTCAACCCCACCTATAACAGCTATATCAAAGGGGGATATAGTTCAACCCCACCTTCAGCAGCTATATCAAAGGGGGATATAGTTCAACCCCACCTTCAGCAGCTATATCAAAGGGGGATATAGTTCAACCCCACCTATAGCAGCTATATCAAAGGGGGATATAGTCCAACCCCACCTTCAACAGCTATATCAAAGGGATATAGTTCGACCTCACCTATAGCAGCTATATAAAACGGGGATATAGTTCAACCCCACCTTCAGCAGCTATATCAAAGGGATATAGTTCAACCTCACCTATAGCAGCTATATCAAAGGGGGATATAGTTCAACCCCACCTTCAGCAGCTATATCAAAGGGATATAGTTCAACCTCACCTATAGCAGCTATATCAAAGGGGGATATAGTTCAACCCCACCTTCAGCAGTTATATCAAAGGGGGATATAGTTCAACCCCACTTTCAACAGCTGTATCAAAGGGATATAGTTCAACCTCACCTATAGCAGCTATATCAAAGGGGGATATAGTTCAACCCCACCTTCAGCAGTTATATCAAAGGGGGATATAGTTCAACCCCACCTTCAGCAGCTATATCAAAGGGATATAGTTCAACCTCACCTATAGCAGCTATATCAAAGGGGGATATAGTCCAACCCCACCTTCAACAGCTGTATCAAAGGGGGATATAGTACAAACCCACCTTCAGCAGCTGTATCAAAGGGGGATATAGTCCAACCCCACCTTCAACAGCTGTATCAAAGGGGGATATAGTCCAACCCCACCTTCAACAGCTGTATCAAAGGGGGATATAGTCCAACCCCACCTTCAACAGCTATATCAAAGGGGGATATAGTTCAACCTCACCTATAGCAGCTATATCAAAGGGGGATATAGTCCAACCCCACCTTCAACAGCTGTATCAAAGGGATATAGTTCAACCTCACCAGTGAAAGTAATTAAAGAAAAGAACACATGTGGTTCGTTCATCTAAATTGAGAGGTTTGAAAAACGAAAAACCAGCAGAACAAAGATGGCATGGACTATTCTCACAAATCAACAAACACCATGATACTTCAATATAATTTATTGTCATCAGTACATCACAAATGACAATTTCACCCAAGAAAGAGAAATGTTCCAACTCTGTGTCCCATCCCAAACATACAAATTGCTGAAATTTGTATCAACACTCCAATATTAACACACGGCACAATATCCTGTACCAATAACTTGCACACGCACACACGTACATACAAAGTATGAATTAACAAACGCATCGTACAATTTGGTCAATGAATGCTACTCTGCCAAATCATAGTCCTACATGGTGCATTTCTTCAATCGGAGTGAAAGTAGAACTGTATGATGAATATGGACATCAGTTGTCAAGACAATAACATTTCTTGACCACCGATTATGGCTAGTATGCCCTGTATAATGAAATCCCATGAGTATAACAAGGCCAACAATGCCTTTTCGCAAAAAGCTGGCTGCCTTGAATACAAAAAGTTGGCATGATCCAAACAATGTATTCTTATCCTTGATACAATATGACCCCACCCCACCATTAATATGTGAGCTTATGGTTTTATATCCATCATAATCTCAATGGAAGAGTAAATGACAAGAAGTATATATACCAGTATATAAGGGACATTATGCGAGTTAGTAACTTCAAAAAAGGCTAATACTGACTAAAATACTGCTTCCTGGCAACTGATTACAATGGCGATAAAAATTCGAATTTTTTACATAACTCCGATACATTGAGTATTCTAACTAGATAAGGGATATTTGGCTGTATAAGATGAACTTTATACATGTCATGGGACTTCCATTTTGAGGTAATGCTGAAAACACCTTGCTTACAATATACCCCTAAAACTAAATTTGTTACACCTTTTACAGCCAATACTATATGGTTGCATTCCAATGTACCTTGTTTGCGTTCCTGAAAGCAAACGACACACCTTCATCAATGAGAATGACTAAGTATTTTATATGAAAATTATTCTTGGAAGTTTACTTCAAAATACATGCAGTTTTTATTAAGTCATCATAAACCATTATGTTTTCATCCCTACCTCACTCATAAAAACTCCCATAGTTAATTTTGTAAAACTGTGTTCTTTGCTTAAACTTCACTGCGGCTAATCCAGAAATATATTGAACGACCATAATATAAAATGTAATCAACTGTCACCAGATATAGTACAAGAGTTGGATGTGTGCAAATAATCAGCTTTGCCATTGAAAATTCAAAGTGTTCATCATAATATCATCCCTGACATCCCAAACTTGGCTTCATTGCACTTTTGGCACTAAAGATTATGTTGCACAAAATTTGGCCTTCAAATGACAAGTCTCAAACAGATGCAGAAGTCTCAAACAGATGCAGAAGTCTCAAACAGATGCACAAGTCTCAAACAGATGCACAAGTCTCAAACAGATGCACAAGTCTCAAACAGATGCACAAGTCTCAAACAGATGCACAAGTCTCAAACAGATGCACAAGTCTCCAACAGATGCACAAGTCTCACGTGTTAAAGACATGAGATTATCTACAGATAAAACAGACTAATCTGGCGTTTACAAACTCATACTTTCAAACTTGTTACAGATCGTATTGAACAACAAATAACATTTAAGTAGCATAAATATAAAAAGAAGAAACGCAAATAATTTCCTTTAATTATTTTGATTATTATTTTCGACATCCACAAAACATTTGGAAAAATATTTATGCATAGGGATCGGTGAAATGTGTCTTCCCCTGCTTTGAAAATTTTGGAACTATTTGTGACATGTCAAAACTCTGAAAACAAGGTTAGTACTATATAACATACTTATTATGTAAATACATATGTTGTCAAATATGATAGATGTATTAGATTCAGAAGAAGCCTTAAAACAAATATAACAAAAACACAATGTTCAATATGCACATTTAAATAGAAAATACAAATCAGAAACAAAAATTCAAGGTATTTACCTACTGGTCACAGATTAGTTACCACCATCAATGTTGAAACGGTCAGTCCTATCTTTAGCTTATGTTACGGACATTTGATCATGAAATATGACAACATAATATGTCTTGTAAACAAGATACAACTCAATACAAGTCTTTGAAAGGCATTTAGAAGTGATACCCATAAGGAAGAGAATTCATGGACGTCACCTGATGAAGGAGCAAGCATATACTCCGAAACGTGTTCCTCATAATAAACACGTTGACATCCATACATAAATTCTCTTCCTTAACTCAATACAATATACAATAAATACAAGATTGTGAATTTTCTGTGTTTAATCAAATCTGCATTAATATGTCATAAGTTACTGACAACAGATAACAGACCCCAGACTGAAATCATTTAATTCTTCTACATACCGGTACCCAATATTTTATAAGTCAAACTAACAAACAATATCCTGTCACTGAAAATATCAGCACTATTTATATAACCCAGCACCCCCCCCCCCCGTGTTAGGGACAAAAAACAAAAGCAACTTCATGATGATTGTGTTGAAAATGTAAAAAATAGTCCCAATGTTGAGAGTGAGTGAGTTTAATGCTGTTTACAAGTATTACCGTATTCGACGTAATAAGCGCCCCGCTCTAATATGCGCCCATGGCGATATTTGCTAATATATTGGCTAGTGAACAATCCCAATCAGTACCCCTTCCGATTGATCAATGTACACAAGACTTATTTATTTGTGTATAATACGCACTCGTGTGTTATATCACCCTTAATTATGGGCAATCAAATTTTTTTTAAATATAGCTGTCGTATGTAAACATTTCAGGCTGTTAGCATAAACCACGATATTTACGATCTTTTAACTCAAAATAATATTCTAATAAGCGCCCCCTATTTCTAATTTTGAGAGCGCCCTGGGCGCTTATTACATGGAATACGGTACATCTAAAATCTACATCAGTTGCATGTCTGTTGTCTGTGTTTATCCTCATCCATCATAAATAATACATACACCAATGTTCTCTCCTCAATAAAAGGAGCCGACATGGTTGAACATGGAATGTAGCAACAAGTCAACACTGATCATCTTATTACAATTAAAATGTTAAATACTTTAAATCATACCCTCTGTTAAATACTTCATACCCAGGGTAGGCCACAAAAATACATCATTCGATTTTCATCCTTTTTTCAATATTGTGAGGGGGAGAAATTTGTTGTTTATACTGTATATTTTTAATAATCTGTCCATATCTGTGTACATTCACAGTCAACAGGTATGATTCACAAGATGAATGTTAGATAGGACTACAAGTACCGTTTAATGCAAGCTGAGGAAGAAGGCTACATAAAGCAATATTCTTCATCTGTATGCAATAAGGGAGACGAAGGGCGTGAGGCGGGGTGTTTGGTAGTGAGTCGAGTGAGATGAAAATCAAATAATTAATTTGTTATGGCCTTGGACTTGTATTTTACACCAGAAACAAAAAGGAACTATACAATGGTTTGTACAAATGAAAAGTCAGAAATCAGTTTGACACAATGCCTGATTGTCGGTAACACAATGTAAAACTCAGTATTTATACTACTGAAGCTGTCCAACATACATGTACACCATGGTCAGCGTGGTAACTACAGGCGTCAGCAGCCTTCACTCCAAGGTGGTCCTAGCAAAACTGCAAACACATCAGTACTTAACATCACATTCACATCAAAGGCTTAGAAACCTCATTCCAAGTCAATTTCACATTTCAGTTAGGTCACTCTCTAAAATTCTTGGACTGATAATTTATTGGAATTTAGAAAAAAATATATTCAGAAACACATTTTTTTAAAAGCAAATTCGATTCTGTGTTGCACACGAATAACTTTCTACACTTGAGGAAAAGTGGGACATCTAAGGTACCAGCTTATTTGAAAACTTATGAATATGTAACGGCAAAAATATTTACAGAATGGCCTGAAGAAAGGTTAATTCTGAAGAAGCGCTCATAAAATATTAGCCATGCAGAGAGTTTCAATGAGGCCAGTTTGAGGCCAGCAACATCATCATTACTAATAAAATTGAATTTTATTCATTTCAAATATTTCCAATCACCCTAAATTTCTGAATAATGTCTGTAATAATCAACAAGAATTATATAACAGTAAGTAGAAATAGCACTATGATCCCATGCACTGGCAAGGTACGCTCTATTTACATTTCATGATATGTTTATAAGTATAAGATATTTCCAAGATATCAGTAGTTTCTGTCTATGTATCTATATTTGGGCTATCGTCGTCAGTTGGATACACATTACGATATATAATATGCAGGTAGAATGCAGTTTGTTGCAATAATGTGCAGCTAATGCTGTCTGCACAGCTATGTACAAATATTGAGTCAAGGTTCAACTTCAGCATGACACATGAAACAACAGCATTCGATGCAAAGTTGTGCAGTTTCATTCAGAAAAGTTCTAGTTCAAAGTCGTTATATACATCAAATAGAATGATTACCTACGCGAAGCCACAACTTCAGAACGAAAGGTCAGCGATGTTTATCATGTAGCAGGGACCAGATTCATGTATATGGCCTCAGCATAAAGGTCAACACAAAAATACTTAATATGTTTCTCCAAAATAGTTCATATATGTTATATATGTTATATAAGTCAACAAATGGATTAATGGATCTAATGCATGATGTTTAATCGGACTTATTGGCATCATATTTCTTTACACTTTCTCTCCATGTTAATTCACATGTGCAAACACAGCACAAGTGTCTAACATTATAAGAGAATCTCGACCAAATGTCATTTGATACAAAAAAATATGAACTTAAGTCAATAATGTCAAAAAAAAGGCAGTGAAATTTTAAACTTTTATGGACAAGAGTTGATATATTTTATATAAAAGAACATGAGGATAAGGTTCTATTTATCATCCATATCATTCTTCCGATGTTTTCAGTTTGTAAAATGTAATAAGCAGTCGTGTGTGTAAAACCAAAGCTAACCAGCTTCAGTGGCAGAGAGAATAGTGATGTCATGTCATTGTGACATCATGGTAACCAATGACATCACAATGGTCTGCAAACCATTGCAGCTTCACTGCAGCAATATCTCCTGTGAAAGCCAGTGTTGGATGATACATCCTGGCTCCAGGCTGCTGACTGGTACAACTTCTTACCAATATTCCTCTACAGCCATCATGTCTTTATTTGTTGGATCACAGATTCTCTGCCATATTCAGAAGTTGGGTGAGGGGAAAAGCCTATCTACCTCAACTTTTGACTTTCTCACTCTATAATCGTTTGAAATGTTTAGTTTTCCCAGAAGAAACAGTTTAAGCAAGTCCATGTATCAAGGACAATTGCAACTCTAGATTTAATTCTGCACAGAATCAGCTATGAATGATCAATTTGGTGGAACATGCACATCAAATGTCAGCATAATTTTAGTGTTTTTGATTTATTGTTTTCAAAAACGTTGAAGAATTACAAAATATTTGTGACATGTGGCGAAAAATGAAAGTGCATAATTGATGATTTCGATTTCCATTTTTGATGAAAATAGTCAGATGATTTGTTATCCAACAAATAAAGAAATATGGCCAGCTTACATAGTCCATCTCGTGACCGCCAGCACTGCTGACCATTTGCAGCACGTGGTAGAACATTGTATTTATGTCGGTACTTCCTGCTGCTCATCCCCTGAAGGAGGAGATTACCCAATGCATCTGCTATGTTACAATTATGCAAAAATATAAGGACACAAACACCGTGGCAAAAAATTGAGGCCATTCACAACCGTAGATTGTTACTTATTTTGCTTCACTACTGAGTAAATATATGCAAAACTTAACCAACAGACTGGTATCACAGATTGTCCATGGCAACCACAACAGTAAGCCCTGTGGTAGTAACACCAAAATGTGCAGCGGTTCCTGCAGGCAGACATGTTTATGACAACAACTGCATGACATACTCAAGACAAATAAACACCTGAGGCCTATTAATAGCTATGCATAAACTTTACAAAATAAGATTAATTTGTCAGCAAATATTAATCAACATGGATACTTCCTTGCAAGAAAGATCTCAATGTTCACTGGACCCAAAACACAATCTTAGGCCACAATAAATTAATATTAGACTTTCATCCAGTTTTCTAACAGAAGAGGCAGAAGCCATTATATTTCATAAATATACTGTTCAATTTGAACTGTCACTTGATGTGATTCACATTTTGATATGTCTGTCCGTAAATGGCCAGTTTCAGAATGGCAAGCTCTCTTCAGAAACTGGTTTAGTATTAGTGGTGGGACGATACCCCGACGATCGGTGGATCATGATTTTTTACTTCTTGATTCAAGTATCGATCACAGTCGCAATCTAAGTACAAAGTATCGATTCTTACCTCAAATGTTTTCTTGAATAAATGTAACACCAAACACTAATAACAAGTGAAATTGAGTAGTGAAAATGTAAATATTTTCATCCCTTGCGCCATATCTGACACTGCCAACTATTAATTAATAGTGTGCCATGTATTTGTCAATCCTGTCTATGAAAAAGATGGCTTACACACCACAGATAAGTGCACATGCAAGTATCGCGATACGTATCGGTTCGTCAGCAAGGTATCATGATACGTATAGGCTCACACAGTTGGTGTACTGTCCCCGACCTATTTAGCATCATAAACTTGTCATAATATCCAGCTGATTGTTGTCACGCATGACAGTATGTAATGACTTCATCAAGCAAAGAACCAAGGCAAAGACAAATAGACAAATTATATGACTTTGGTAGTGAGACTGAAAATCTGTCAACTAATTCATTATGGCCTAAGATGTCATTTTCTTGATCTATTTGTTATTCTGGTATAAATATGTTGCACATTTCTATCATCAGGTATTATGCCGGCCACTGATAGTAGTCAACCGAACCTGATAAACAGGAAGTGAAAACTGGCCATCATGCCGTGACCCAGTATCTACAGATCTATATACCTACAATACTACAATAATTGTAGATATATACGTGTAGATCTTAAGACAAAAATACCCACCGGAAAAAACAACATCTTTCTGATAGTCTAACTAATCGAAGAGGAATAAGTATATCTCACCATTAACTTGATGAAATATTAAGAATATAATCACATAGATGCTGAAAGAATTTTCGATACTTCATAGCATGAAGTGTGTTCATATCAAACCATTGCCTAATTATTTCCTCTAGATGGGTAGGGACAGAGACAGAAGAGTCAAGGAGATTTAACTTGTGTTGTGTATTATACCTTCATTAAGTAAATCCAGTGTTATGTAGTCCCGGATATCAAGAGGGGACCATCTAAATAACATAGTGAATACAAGCAGCTGTGTTCGTCAAAGTAACATGATGTTGACAGATATTATCATGATTAAACCAACTGGTCAGTGAGTCATCTTCCCGAGGCAAGGGAGTTAACTGACGATAAAAGTCCAGTTCCACCCATGCCGAATAGGCTGGAATATGGAGGGGTTTTTTTGCCTGACTAACAAGTCTATGCATAGTCCAATTAAAATCGCATAAGGAAATCAACATCAGGCGCTACGATCGAGGCCAGAAATTCCATCGTAGTTCAGCAAGGGTGGAAACTGGACTTTTACAGTCAGTTAACTCCCTTGCCTCAGGAAGATGTCAATGACTGGGCGGCGGTGTTCCTGATTTGAGGTATTGAGAACCCTGTTTCCTTGTCTGCCTTTTCTTCAATGTGAGAATACAATTATTGCATGCAAATCCTTTCATGGATCACATAGAATTTCCATCTAAAATGACAGACCATTCACTATGACAAACATGATAGATGTTTAAAGACACATATTTTAAACCTCTTAAATTGAAAAGTGAGGTCACTATATAACCTTGAAAGATGTTAATGAGTCCAAATATATAAAAAATACTTCTGCTATAACATTTATTTCATGTTGAAATCAAAATCCTGACTTGACAGCAACCCTCAGAACTTGTTACACATGCTCCTACAAAATCCGGTTAAGTCAATGTGACTAACATTCTTGACACACTCGCTCTAGCGTATGTCACAGGTGTTCCTATCCGTGAATCACCTGTCTTACAATAGAAGTAGCACATGCCCAGTTTTCATTTGCACGTGCATGGTGTTCAAACAGATGTAACGTGAACGAGTGAGTGAGTTTGGTTTTACTCCGCTTTTAGCAATATTCCAGCAGTATCACGGCGGGGGACACCAGAAATAGGCTTCACACATTGTACCCATGTCAGGATTCGAACCCGGGTCTTCGGTGTGACGAGCGAATGCTTTAACCACTAGGCTACCCGACCGCCCCAGATGTAACGTGAAAGGTTATTCTTCCCTGCCAGTGTATAAACTAGTTTCTGACCTAGAGGTTCAAGTTAGATGAACACACCTCAGTATACAATATTGCACGTACTCCAGTGTTCATCTTCCTTGAACCTCTCGGTCTCAGTTAGATACTATGATTTATCACACAACTTGTAGTCTTAACCTATCTTTCACTGGTCACTATTAATGTCTTCTTTCCAAATTGCTCTCATAGATCAGAAAATTGCTCGAATCCCTGTCAAATAATTACTTGAAAGATGAGGATAATGATTGTAAAAAATGAACATATATAGTATTCTCATATTGATATGTTGGATTATTAACTCCTTATGCTCAGAAGTCCATCGATACATTTCCTGTTTGTGTTACACCCTCATAATGTAGCCTGCCTGTGTTACAGCTGATGAAAGGCTGTTTGTGTTACACACCCATACAGTGTAGCCTGCCTCTGTTACAGCTGATGAAAGGCTGTTTGTGTTACACACCCATACAGTGTAGCCTGCCTGTGTTACAGCTGATGAAAGGCTGTTTGTGTAACACACCCATACAGTGTAGCCTGCCTGTGTTACAGCTGATGAAAGGCTGTTTGTGTTACACACCCATACAGTGTAGCCGGCCTCTGTTACAGCTGATGAAAGGCTGTTTGTGTTACACACCCATACAGTGTAGCCTGCCTACAGCTGATGAACCAACACAATTAGGAGACTTAATTTTACATTTTCATCAAAGAACGCATTCTAAATTAGTCTGAATTCAAACAGAGTATAGTTCTATGCACTATTCCAGCAATATATTGTAGGGGAACACCTAAAATGAGCTTCACATGCGGAATGAAATAAGGATCAATTCAGTGAGGAAGGGCCATCGCCATATATATTACCCAACAGCCCTCCCACCTATAATGTCAATGCTGAAAAGTGAGTTGTGTTTTATGCTTTGAGGGATATTCCAGCCATATCAAGGATTCATCAAGGGAATCAAAGCCAGGCCTTCAGCATGATGGGCGAATGTTTCAACCAATAGGCAAGCCTCCGCCCCTCAGTGCTGAAGAAGCAGACTCAAAGACTGTTATTCCTTGTTAGATTGGTCCATCAGCAGCAGTATTCTATCAATCTATTTATCAGTGTCAATAACCACAATCTGGTCATCATTAACCACATGAGCTACTGAGCCATGTTTATCATTTTGGAGCAAAGGCTCCTCAAATTGACCACACATACTTCTCATGGTATTTACTCTATGCTTGGAGCTACTGAATCAGATACTCAGATTCGACTCTTGGTTCAAGACAGGACAAAACTTGGCATCTTGTGTCAGTCTCCAAATATAAAATATGAATATGATACAATGCCACGCAAACGCCACGCCACCACACCACAGCTTCCCTACAGAATCATTGACTGTCAAGGAGTAGTCTTCGGTGATTCCTTAGGATCAAGACGACATGACTGTTTCAAGGAGCAAAGCTATGAATCTTTCAATACCAAACTTGGAAGGTCTGAAATAACAACTGCCACATCACAATGTGAAACTCTTGCCCAATACCCCATCAGAACCTCCAACTCTGTAGCTCATGGTGACTGTGTACTCTTCATCTCCTGCAGTCTATTCTTCATCCTCCGTCGAATTTGTTCGTATCTGTAAATACACAAAATGATGTAGGTCCAGGAAGCTTGGACAAGTACCTTATGTCCGCCCCAGTTTACCCACAGTTTACTGTCTATCCTTCATCTTTATCATCATCAAGCTCTCTAATTGAATAGTAATTGCTCTTATTTCACAAAATGCACTTATAACAATGTCTGACCAGACTGGAATTGGCTACTATCAAGCCATTGAAATTAGACTCATGAATGAGTGAGTGAGTGAGTTTGGTGTAATGTCGCTTTAAACAGTATTTCAGATAAATCACGGCGTGTCAGCTTGATGTGGGAGGAATGCCCCAAGTGATGCTCGACTTAGATGTTTACAATGTTGGTGAAACTCATGAGCACGGTATGACAAACTAAGAAAACAGATCAGAGCAAATCTGGCATTCAAACCACGATCACTAGCTTACAGCACACTTACATGATACAACTCTGCACAGTGAACAATGGCACTACATACAACTGCTCCCCTACTAAATAAGTGTAACTATGAGAAAATTGTCATTGGCATCCATTATTCCTGACACATATTCATGTATTCTACCATGATCCAATTGGCAAAATATAGACAATATTTTTGGAAGTATTACACCGGGTTACTGACAACAGAGGCCGAATGACAACATGCCTACCTCATCTTGATCACACGAGCATCCTTCTCTTCATCTTCCTTGTACTTGATGAGAACTCCCTCCAGGACAGCCACGGGCAGCACAAGCAGAGTCTCCACCTGCAACAACCAACAACCACCCTTCAACCATCTCTCACAGGAGGTCTCAAGGCACCAGCATACATTCGACCATTTCTCACAGGAGGTCTCAAGGCACCAGCATACATTCGACCATCTCTCACAGGTCTCAAGGCACCAGCATACATTCAACCACCTCTCACAGGACGTCTCAAGGCACCAGCATACATTTGAACATCTCTCACAGGAGGTCTCAAGGCACCAGCATACATTCAACCATCTCTCACAGGTGGACTCACATCACCAGCATATATTCAACCATCTCTCACAGGAGGTCTCAAGGCACCAGCATACATTCAACCATTTCTGACAGGTCGACTCACGTCACCAGAATACATTCAACCATCTCTCAAGGAGGTCTCAAGGGACCAGCATACATTCAACCATCTCTCAAGGAGGTCTCAAGGGACCAGCATACATTCAACCATCTCTCAAGGAGGTCTCAAGGCACCAGCATACATTCAACCATCTCTCAAGGAGGTCTCAAGGCACCAGCATACATTCAACTATCTCTCACAGGAGGTCTCACATCGACAGAATACATTCAACCATCTCTCAAGGAGGTCTCAAGGCACCAGCATACATTCAACTATCTCTCACAGGAGGTCTCACATCGACAGAATACATTCAACCATCTCTCAAGGAGGTCTCAAGGCACCAGCATACATTCAACTATCTCTCACAGGTCGACTCACGTCACCAGCATACATTCAACCATCTCTCAAGGAGGTCTCAAGGCACCAGCATACATTCAACCATCTCTCAAGGAGGTCTCAAGGCACCAGCATACATTCAACCAACTCTCAAGGAGGTCTCAAGGCACCAGCATACATTCAACTATCTCTCACAGGAGGTCTCACATCACCAGAATACATTCAACCATCTCTCAAGGAGGTCTCAAGGCACCAGCATACATTCAACCATCTCTCACAGGTGGACTCACATCACCAGCATACATTCAACTATCTCTCACAGATGGACTCCACATCACCAGCATACATTCAACCATCTCTCACAGATGGACACACATGACCAGGATACATTCAACCATCTCTCACAGGAGGCCTCAAGGCACCAGCATACATTCAACTATTTCTCACATATGGACACACATCACCAGAATACATTCAACCATCTCACACAGATGGACTCACGTCACCATAATACATTCAACCATCTCTCAAAGGTCGACTCACGTCACCAGCATACATTCAACCATCTCTCACAGATGGACACACGTCACCAGAATACATTCAACCATCTCACACAGATGGACTCACGTCACCAGAATACATTCAACCATCTCTCAAAGGTTGACTCACGTCACCAGCATACATTCAACCATCTCTCACAGATGGACACACGTCACCAGAATACATTCAACCATCTCACACAGATGGACTCACATCACCAGAATACATTCAACCATCTCTCAAAGGTCAACTCACGTCACCAGCATACAATCAACCATCTCTCAGACAGTGATCTTGCACTGCTAACACATTCTTGAACTCGGCTTGTGGTAGAGCGTCTGCTCGGAGAGCGGAAGGTCTGGGGTTCGATCCCTGGCCGCGTCATACCAAAAGAGGTTAAAAGATGGTACTTGTTGTTACCCTGTCTGGCGCTCATCATTAAGGGGCTAAGACAAGGACTGGTCGGCTCGGAGTCAGTATACTGTGTCTGCGTGGGGTATTCATGTTAAACTGCGGCATGGTATCTCAGTGAGCTAGCACTATAAATCGGCATCAGTCCGGACTAGTACAAGCAGCCACACACACACATGCATGCACGTCGCTATATAAGTGCAATAATCTTGGATGCGACGTTTAAACCAAATTTCACCTCACCTCTTGAACTCGGCTCGCTACAACACATAGCACATACCAGCAGGTCTGTGCAACCATGTCAGCCTCACCTCATCGGGTAAATGTTCCTCTTGTGTTTCCTCAGCTTCCTGAATGGGCATGGATATTACAGGAGTCTTGGGCTGTTCTACTATTTTTTCTTTGATAAAGAACCTGGCCTTTGCTTCATTGGGACCAAAATCTAACCTCAAAGCCAGTGGGATATGCTTTTCTGTTAGAAGCCTCTCTGAAAAGAAAAACAATATACCATCTCAATACTGGACAAATTAGGGGTGACTATTGTGTCTATTTTCACTATTGTGATTGAACTGCAATAGTACCCCACACTATTGCAATAGTATCGTGATAGTTGTCAACCAATGCGATGTTATTGCGATGGTATTAAACCAACTTTAAGACTTCATAAATGTATTAATCAATGTCATATACATGAATAAAGTATTGCAGACAGTGTGAAAGTTGGCCTTTTTCCTCCATGTTGCTGCTCAAAACAACAGTCGTAATTCCAAACTTAAGCTGTAATTCTTGCTAATCAGTGAGTGAGTGAGTGGCGGGGGACACCAGTAATGGGCGTCACACATTGTACCCATGTCAGGAATCGAACCCGGGCCTTCGGCGTGACAAGCGAATGCTTTAACCACTAGGCTACCCGACCGCCCCTCTTGCTAATCAACACATGGCAGGTTTGAAATCTGACTGTAAAAAAACCCGAGTTTTCTGCATACTATCAACAATACTATTGGCTTTCATAAATTCCTATCGATATAGTACAATTGTAGGGCAAACAATTGCAGCACAAAGATAGTTTCGATATATCATTACACTCCTGCTGGACATCATCAAACTAAATAATACTTGGAACGTCTATTCATGAAAAATGTATATATTGGAGCCCTGTTTACAAGGGTAAAAGCAAGATGAATAGCCTGTCAGGGTCTGCCAGAGAACTTCGACACAACAGACCTGTCCACAATGGTCATGGAAAGTAGTTGGCTCGGGGCTTACACCATTCATTCACTCCCGACAGATAATCTGTAACTCCTCGTAGCTTGTTGGTTATTCTCCAATTATCAGTGACATCAAGTGAGTGAGTGAGTCAGGTTTTACCCCACTTTGTCAGATTAATGTGGGAGGAAAGCCTTAAGTGATGTTTGTTTGTTTATTGTTTAACGCCACACTCAGCAATAATCCAGCGGTCTGTTAATAATCGAGTCTGGACCAGACAATCCAGTGATTGACATCATGAGCATCAATCCGCGCAATTGGGATACGATGACATGCATCAACCAAGTCAGCGAGCCTAACCACCCTATCCCGTTAGTTGCCTTTTACGACAAGCATAGTCGCAGGTCTCAGATGTTTACTACTTTGGTGAAACCCACAAGTGCTGAGAAACCTAGAAACCAGGGGCGACCTTGGATTCAAACCCACGTTCATGCTCCCAGTGACATCAAGCATGGGGTGAACTGCTACACTTACCTTCATCATCTGTCACCAAGTACAGCTGGTACTCGTCGGGGTGATTCACAACCTGGAAGTAGCAAATACAAGATATTAAACCTCCAAATCCACTAACGAGTGAATGAGTGAGTTTGAGTACAAGGGACACAACTCTGCACAAAAACTGCAGCACATAAGATGACTGGCCTACCCTTGCCCCATCGAAATCAAACCCAAATCATATAAATGATTTTGAAATGTTATAATAAATGTTGCAATCTTCTGAAGCGCTGACATATCACAATGCCTTTAAGGATCTCTTTTTGAAGTACATGTACGCCAGCAAGATATATATAACGTCGGTTACTAAGCTTCATTGACAGCGTCTTGGAAATATAACCTTATTAACAAACGTTATTAATAAATTTTCGATTTTAAGTGTGATAAAAAAACCTTGGGTTTGGTGGAGAATGTAAACACTCCAGGTCAAGAAAAACCCTTGGGCCCTCGGAGTCCTTAATATCATGATCAGGGGGAATCTAGAACTAACCCTAGATGACAAGACCACACACTTAATATGTGCCTGCAATATAGCTAAAACAACACTTGGTTTAGGGTACTGGGCATCCCCCTTCTCTATGTCTTTGGTACTGAAAACTATTCCACCAAAATGTAGGGTATGCGGATGGCTTATGGTGATACACTTAATGTATGAAGCTAGCATCCTCTGCCACTTGTGACACGGACTGGAGAAGTAGTAGTGTGGCCTTACTTTGAATTTCTCCATGAGGGTTTTGATAACTTGTGAAGTATTCATTGTACTGGCGACAATGACACTGGTACTGCTGCCCAAGACTGGGGTGAACACACTCGTCTGAAACACAACACATGAACATCAGCATCTTAACATACATAGTGTTACAGAGAATATCATGCACATGTCAATGTTAGGCACACTGCATTCACTGGTTCAGCTAATATCCATATTCTAATCAGTTGAATAAGTTTATAACATGGTATTCTCTAAAGTCATAAAACATGAAAGTCTTTCAACAGTATTAGTATTAGTGTCCGTATCTATGTCTCCAATTTCAACCATTTTGTCCATATTTTCCACACAATATAGACATAATAACTATGTAATTCCATGCCTCTGTTCAAAACCAGTCTGTGTTCATTTCATACCATGAAGAAAATAAAACTTAATAGTCACCATTTACTGACTCTCAAAGTGCACCTACATGCCTTATGCCTCTGGTGTCATCGGTGAGTCAGTTGGGTTTAACACTGATCATTGATCATTGATGAGTGTGAGTGAGTGAGTTGGGTTTAACGCCGCTTTTAACAGTATTCCAGTTATATCGCGGCGTGACAGCTTAATGTGGGAGCAAAGCCCGAAGTGATGCAGGTCTTAGACATTTACCACTTCAGTGAAACCCACAAGCACGGGTATGGTGCTGACAAACTTTGAAACATAATTGGGGCAAACCAGAATTCGAACCCACAATCATAGGTTTCGGGTGTGCCCAAGGGAGGCAATTCTGCACAGCCAATCGCGGCGCCTTAGACTACTGGGCCACCCATGCCCCCCATCGGTGAGTGAGTGAGTGATCCTACTGCCTAATCAGCAGTACTACAGTCTTATCAGATCCCGGTTGTGGCATACCTTGACCAGGCAAACCAGTGGTCAACAGTGGCGGTACCATACACCGGTGCTTCTGTGGGTCGCGATCTTTTACTTCCAGATACAAGTATTAATCACAGTCACAAACTAAGTAAAAGCTATCAATTCTTACCTCAAATACTTACTTCATAACTGTTACACCACACAAACACTAATTAGACGTGACAACGTAAAATAATTTAATCCATTGTGCCATAATTGACAACCAGAGTGAGTGAGTGAGTGAGTGAGTGAGTGAGTGAGTGAGTGAGTGAGTGAGTGAGTGAGTGAGTTTGGTTTAACGCCGCTTTCAACACGGCGTAACTGACAACCAGAAGTCGTTACTCATAAAGTTGTATGTTTTCTAATTTACTCACCACCTTTTAGAATGCCAATCAAACAGTTATTATCTACACAGTTGATTTAGAGTTACCTCCCTTCTAGTGCTTCAGCTAAGCCAAACAATTTGATTGGCTCAGTGCCCAGGCAGTATTGAATCACAACACGATTTACAGCTTTGCAGTATGGGGGACAATGGCAAGATGGTCGGGCTACAAACCCTGCTAATTTTAAATCATCAGTGTGGCAGGTATTTGGCCATCTGTCATAAAAAAATGATGGCAAACGAAAGATAGTAAGGGCATTGGATTGTGAGCAAGGTATGATACAAATCGGATTGCACAGTTCGTTATCATCTCAGCCCTAGTGGTCAATAGTATGAGCATCAATCCAGCAGTATCAAAGGCTCACAGTAGTTCCCCCAAGATGATCATCCAGACAAGTACTTGGCTGCTCTACTGAGAATTGGCTTGGCTGCTATACTGAGGATCGAGTTGGCTGCTATACTGAGTGAGCAAGTATGGTCTTACGCTGCTTTTAGTAATATATTCCAGCAATATCATGGCGGGGGACACCAAAAATGAGCTTCACACATTGTACCCATGTCGGGAATCGAACCTGGGCGTTTGGCATGATGAGCGGACTCTTTAACCACTAGGCTACCCGACCGCCCCCTTTGCTGCTATGCTGAGGATTGACTTGGGTGATCTACTGAGAATTGACTTGGGTGCTCTACTGAGAATTGACATGGGTGCTCTACTGAGGATTGACTAGGGTGCTCTACTGAGGATTGACTTGGGTGCTCTACTGAGGATTGACTTAGCTGCTCTACTGAGAATTGACTTGGGTGCTCTACTGAGGATTGACTTGGGTGCTCTACTGAGGATCGACTTGGGTGCTCAGCCAGCAATGTTACTCACGTCATAGTTATAGATGTGACCATTTATTGACGCCCTCTTCCACTTGTTAGGTGCATCGCCCCGATACGCCACTGTGTTAAACTTGCGAAGATTTTTCCGCCGAACAACTCCATCTGTCTGGGATGCCACAATACTGTCATCAAACCCATAGGACTTCTTTGGTGAGGCTGGTGGGGTTGTGAGCTGGCGAAGAAGGTTGGGGACATGTCATGATGAGGAACATACAAATAGTTCTTACAGCACAAATCTGTTTTGTTTTGTTTGTTGCTAAACATCACACTCAGCTGTATTCCAGCTATGTGATGGTAGTCTGTAAATAATCAAGTCCGGGCAAGACGATCCAGGGATTTACATCATGAGCATCAATCTACGCAATTGGGATATGATGACTTGTCAGCAAGCCTGACCAATCACTCCTGTTAGTCGCCACTTAGGACAAGCATGGGTTGCTGAAGACCTATTCTCACCCGGATCTAGTAGATATACAGGATACATATAACAACCATATCTTACTTTCAGCATGTATGAATGTTGGTTTGCTTGACACTTGTTTTGTCAAAGCTTTCAAGTTTGATCATTGGGGTCCACAAATGTGAGTGAGTAAGTGTTGGTTTTAACAAGCCTTTAACACTATTCCACCTGTACCTATGCAGGGAACACCAAGCATGAGCTTCACACTTTTCATTCATGTGGGAATCAAACACAGACCTTTTGCATGGATGAGTCAATGACTTAACCACTGGACTACCCTGGTGCACCTATTAACAAATTAACAGCTTTTCAATGACTTGACAAATAGATGTCCATAAAAAGATCAGATCCTTTATGCTTACAGTTGCCTACTTGACAATGTTTTTCCAAGTACCTGTTCTGATCTAACCTAGAGTGCCCATAAAGTAACCAACCAACTGCAATTTGTCCATCTCTGCTGATGCACAGACATGAGATCTTTAATCAGCTCAGTATGCTTTTTTCTTAATTTTTAAGTATCATATTGCATGCAAACACAAGATTCACAGAGGTACGAATATATTATTGATTCCATCAAAGATGTATAGTTACATCGTGCAATTCAAAACATCATTACCAGAGAATTATCAGAGTTGATTATCTGCCGAAACAGATTCCACTGGGTGTAAACGGCAAAATAGTGATGAAAATTATGTTAATGGATCATTGATGAGTGTGAGTGAGTGAGTTGGGTTTAACGCCGCTTTTAACAGTATTCCAGTTATATCAAGGCACATCAGCTTAATGTGGAAGGAAAGCCCCAAGTGATGCAGGTCTCAGACGTTTACCACTTAGGTGAAACCCACGAGCACAGGTAGGGTGCTGACAAACCTAGAAACATAACCGTGATTCCGTGAACCGGGATTCGAACCCACAACCATAGGTTTCTGGTGTGCCCAAGGGATGCAACTCTGCACAGCGAATCGTGGAATCGTGGTGCCTTAGACGACTGGGCAACCTGTGCCCCCTTGATCATTGACGACACCAGGTGTTCGGAAAGAGTGTAAGTATGTCCTGCTCTGATGATAGCCCCCACCACTCACACCATTAACTTATGCATTTGCAAAAACAAGACAAACACCAGGGAGCATATTGCTGACCATATCTGGAATCCTATAAGTCCCTACCTCGGCAATGTCTTCGGCGAACCTGACACCATTGGACCGTGCTGCCGAAGCACTTCCCTCGATGACTGTTAGAGGTCTCTGTCTGTTGATACGACTGGGGTACAGGCTATGTCGCCACGTGGACAATGGCGACGGCTTTATATTATCACATTGTTCTAACTGGATAGGCCGTGTCACGCCCCAGTATATTCTCAGGGGTCCTTCTATGACGAAGTCCCCATTTTCATTCTGTAAATAAAGTTCGATGAAAAAACTGTTAGTCAATAGTATAAAATGGTTAGCTGGTTAAGATTTACTCACAAGAGAACCTCATTCAATATCTTTAAAACTGTAATGTTGTTCAAAAGCATTTCCAATACAATTACATTTAACCAATACAATGGCCACATAACAGTACAATTACAAATAACCAATACAAATGGCAGATAACCAATACAATTAGAACAAGAGGACAAAGTCATCGATATCCCCAGCAATGGTAATGCTTGTCATGAATAAAAATATGAAACTTGTTTCCATGGAAACTCAAAAAGTATTTGTTAAAACAATCACAATCTATCAAAAGGCAACAGTTCACAACTAGACCTATCCATGTGCTAAGTTTGGTAAAGAAATGTTGTACGGTTTTCAAGATCTGCTCCGGAAATGAGCACTACTGCCATTTTCAGTCAAGTTAAAGTTGTTGCCATAGAAACTCATAAAAATATATTTCTAAAATCCCACACTATCAAAAGGCACTGTTTCACCACCAGACCTATCAAGGTGCTAAGTTTGGTAAAGAAATATTGTACGGTTTTCAAGATCTGCTCCGGAAATGAGCACTACTGCCATTTTCAGTCAAGTTAAAGTTGTTGCCATAGAAACATACAATAATATTTTAAAAAATTAAATCCCAAACTATCAAAATTCACCAGTTCATTACTAGACCCATCTATGTACCAAGTTTGGAGAAGACATATTGTAGAGTTTTCAAGATATGCTCCGAAAAGGACATACTGCACTGGTGCACAGTGTCCATTTTGATAACCCCTGTAAAATGCATTGCAGGGTATCATTAACAAATCCAAATGGCACATAAACAATACAACTACAATTAACCAATACAACTATCACATAACTAATACAATTGGCACGTCACCAATACAGTTTGTACATATGATGCTTTTGACTAAACTCATTTTGAAACATTAAACGTTTCTGAACTTTTTGCCTGCATACATACTTGAATGTTGTGTAATAAAGATCACCAAGATTCTACTTCTTAGTTGACAAGAAACTATGTCAAGACATACACTGTTAATCCACCATTACCTTTTCTGTTGTGATCTGGTGTCGCACCTTCCCCTCGTAATACGCATTATAAGACTGGACCTTCTTCAGCATCTCCTGTCTGAAAAGTTACAAAAGAAATAAATATATATAAATTGCAAGCGATTCCATGGCATTTGATAAGATAACCAAGCAAATTCTTTTTTGTTTAGGCCACACTTTTTTAATTTTATGTTTCACAGATTTCTTCCAGCTTTTCCGTACTAGGTTGGTTGAAATAAAAATAGATATCTATGTGAATCTTTTTTTATTTATATATTTTTATTTTTTTAAATTTATTTATATGAAAGTTATTTTGCCGTGGAGCTAAAACTGCAACTGGCTTCTTGACTCACTGATAGTGATGTAAACATGGAATGTACATGTACAGGTTTTATTGTACAAGAGGGTCTATATTACGTGCGGGAGATAAATATTTTGCGGAAAATAAATATTTTTCTGTTTAATTTATTTTTTGGACCAGCTGCTTTTCAGTTGGGGCGGCAGGCCCATGAAATAAAAAATAAAAAACGTGTGGCCTTTTGAGTGATGGTTTTACAGTTTCTTTGAATAGCTTGTCAGTTGCACCAGTCGCAAGCTTCAGGTGGGAGCAACCCCATCTGATGCATGTTTGCCTAAGCACAACTGCTGGCGGGTCCGGGGAAACGAAGATTAACGTCTCATTCAAAGTTATTGCACTCATAAAGCAACCTGCATGCACATATCTGTGGCAGGTTTTAATCCAAAAACTAAAGCCAGTTTCATAGTGCTTGCCCAATGAGATACCATGTTGTAGTCCAGTCCTTGTTTTAGCCCCTAACTGCCAAACACAGAGTAGAGTTTCAGTAGCAATATGTACCATCCTTTAAAGTCTTTTGGTCTGCATGGTCTGAAGAAGCTGAGGCTCAAACAACCGACTTTCACTCTCCGGGCAGATACTCTTCCCAGTAGACCACGGAGGTGGTCTTGAATTAAGGCATGACTAAGGAAGCTAGGGCTAAGAAGGGTAGCTCAGGTGCCAAGGTCAGGAGGGTACTGAGTAGGACCCAGGTACCCACAAGACTAGTAACCAGGACCCCTGGTTAGTCATGTGATATATTTTTTTATGACGTTAACAATAAAATTTCATGGTTACACTTTAAAAGTACAAGTCGCTAATGTTCGCATTTCTTTCTGACTGTGCACACATTCCTTCTGCTTTTTATATGTTTGAATAAAGACAAAGCTTCATCCAACTTCAGTGTATGCAGGATCAGATATACTACACCTAAATACTTTTTGCCAGGGCACCAGTAACAACTTCCCAATTCAATATTTTGTACCTAACTTAAGACCTACAGTGGGTACCTGGTAGGGTCTGGTAATAGGGGGTCGGGTACCCGGGTAGGCAATTTAGACATGACCCAGTCTTAAAGGAACTAATCACTTCACAGTGAATTCCAGTGCCTGTGAGCCATGTCCCCTAATCATGCTAATAGAGATGCAACCAGGGCAGCCATCATGTACACCTGTGTTAAGCTGATGGCACCGACAGTCCACAGCCACACTGGTTTCCATGTCACCACATGCAGAAGATCCTTAAGACTTAAATAAACAATAATTGCAGAGTCCTAGGCTCCCGTAAAAAGACATTTTTAGAAACTTAAGGTATCAAATTTTTTCTTCCTGGTGTGTTCATTGCTTCACAATGAAAGATTTAAGGCATGATCAGATTTCAAACACTTTCCTTATCTGAAAAAAACATGACAAAGATACAGGAATTTAATTCTTCACTGAAGTAGTATAATGTGATTTGAACTTTCTACAATGGCCTGTCCGTAAAAAAAATACTATCCGATGAGGGATTTCAAGATCAACAGATAATTCTGAGTTACTTGTTGCTTATTCTGTATTATAAATGAGCCGAAATACACAAATGATCTTCACCCAACAGTAATCTCCACATTAGCTTGAAAGCTAAAAAAGTCAATATGTTAACACTAAAATCTACTGATAGTCACATGTTGGTATAGTCAACTGGTTTTTGACACACAGGCTGAGATCCAGGTAAATGCCTGAAAAACCCTTTACTACTTTTGACCCATTACCACTTTGGGGTACAGAGAGCAAATAATTTCTACATAATGTTTTGTGTAGAATATCAAGATCATGAACATGTCAGCCGTTGTTTGTATCCATATAACAATGCGGTACTGTAACTACAATTTGTATTTTCTATTAAAAAAACGATATGTAGGACCTCATTAATAATTGATGCAACCACTGACAGTTTTGTTTTTTGTTGTTTAATGCAACACTCAGCAGTATTGATGGCCTGTCTGGACCAGGCAAACAAGTAAAGGATATTATGAATGCATCAGGCAAAATGGATATCCCTTAAAATAAAACCTTTCAAACAATCCTGATCAGGCTTGTAGGTCACACTGCACTTCCCATGAGTGAGTGAGTGAGTGAGTGAGTTGGGTTTAATGCCGCTTTTAACAGTATTCCAGTTATATCACGGCATGTCAGCTTAATGTGGAAGGAAAGCCCCAAGTGATGCAGGTCTCAGATGTTTACCACTTAGGTGAAACCCACGAGCACGGGTAGGGTGTTGACAAACCTAGAAACATAACTGGGGCGAACCAGGATTCAAACCCACAATCATAGGTTTCGGGTGTGCCCAAGGGACGCAACTCTGCACAGCTAATTGCAGTGGCTTAGACGACTGGGCCATCCATGCCCCCGCACTTCCCATGAACAGACAGCAGTACATTTTGTTATGGTATCTTCCTGCTCCAGCTCTCATACATGCAGTGTTGTAACACCTGGCCACCTGGTCACCTACACAGTGTACAATGTACTGAGCCACTGCTGTAATTCTGTCCCTTTCCATGCAAGGTGCAACATCAGAGCTGCATCAACTTCACATTCTGTGATAAGGAGTACGCCAACACTTAAAACAAAGTAGACAATTTATGGATAACAACTTCTTTTCAAGGCTTGACAACGGTATCAGGATCTATTCTGAAACCTGACCATTACAGTAAATAAAGAAGTTGTTATCCATAAATTGTGTCTACCTCTAAGCAATGCCTATCAAACAATACATAAAAGCAAAATTATGATTTTTTGTGGCCTCAAAATCAGATCAATTTATCACTAAGTGAGTGAGTGAATAGTGCTTGGCACAACATCAGCAATATTCCAGCTATTGGCATCAAGTTTTATCACTTAACACTCACCCATGAAGACTAATGTGTCAACTGTCAATGTTTGTATGCATATGTAATAACCAATCTCTGCACAGTAACATCTTGTTACACAGGAGCAGTGTAAGGATTACGGCCCTCACTGTACGAGAGTCCTGTACATCAACCCTAGTCCCCCTTTGTACTGGATAGCATTCAGATACAGATGGATGCCCCAACATATTTGTTCTTAGATGCTACACCTGCTCAAGGTGCACTTCAATGAATGTCAGTTGGCTGGAAATTGTTTTCCTATATCAAAGAGAGGGAGTTTGGGATAATAACGCTTTCAGCAGTATCTTAGTAACGTCACTGTGTGTCGGCTTGATGGGAGCGGAAAGCCTGTGGTGCAGGTCTCAGAGGTTGACCACTTTGGTGAAACCCACAAGCATGGGTATGGTGCTGAAAAACCTAGAAACATAATTGGGGAGAACCGGGATTCATATGTTCTAGGCACACCTAAGGGATCCAACTCTGCAAAGCAAAGTGAAGGACCTCAGATACAAAATTGTACAAAAACTCTACTCCTGCTCTTCTCCTGCTCTATTATAGTGAATGAGTGAGTATGGTTTTAGGCCGTTTTTAGCAATATTCCAGCAATATCACGGCGAGGGACACCAGAAATGGGCTTCACACATTGTACCCATGTGGGGAATCGAACCCGGGTCTTTGGCATGACGAGTGAATGCTTTAACCACTAGGCTACCGGACCACCCCCTTCTCCATTATAGTTGATCACAGAGAACGATGGAAGGGACAAGAACCTGTGCTGCACTCCCATTCCTCTCATTCTCCAGGCAGCAGAACTCACTCACTCACTTTGGATTAATGTGTCTATTCATGACAACCCCTAAAACTCAATCAAATAATCAAATATGTGTTTGAGCCACCACAGACCAGGAAGTGATCGATCAGATTTTAAATATCGTAACCTCCAAACTGAAAAATCAAACAGACACTACACTGTGAAAATATGCTGTGATAAGGCTCTGATATTACACTTTCTGAACAATCAACTTTTCCAAGGTAAGAGATATGAAAACTGTCAACATACCACTAAACAATCAGCGTAAACTTAAACAACTTAACTTCAGTAAACAACCCCTATACATCTACTTTTTCATCATCATTCATACAACTCATAAACTAACATAATGTCAAGAACACAATACATTTTCCATCTTCCCCAAACCAAGCCAGCATTATACTCAGCCCTTGATTCAAAACTATTGATGTATAGCGCCTCCATTACCTACCTTGCCTGGCCATTCATGATAAGACTAAGGAAACACTGAGACTTCCCCCCTGCTGGCATGTGTCCCGGATAGGGTAGCGATAGGGTAGCTGATCTCTGACTTACTGTACTCTTCCTGCTTAGAGAGCCTCAGCTCTATGCTAGAGATGCTGATCACAGATACGGCCAGTCTCATCCAGGTGATCCATTTCAATCAAACTACCTTATTCAATCTAATATGCGCTCTAGCCCTTACACCTGCTCCTCAGGGAGTAGTGGGGCAATGGCGGTAGCCTTGTGGTTAAAGCGTCTGCATGTCCTTAAGGCCCAGGTATAATTCCCCACATATGTACAATGTGTGAAGCCAATTCCTGGTGTCCCTCACTGTTTTATTGCAGGAATATTGCTAAATGTGTCGAAAAAATCAATCACTCATGATGTAGTGAGATTTTAACACCAGATGCCACTGCACCAACATGTATAGGACTTGTCAGCCACCTCCACGACTACCAGCACCTCTCATTGACCAAACACAAAGATTTAAAGAAAGAAAGGTTTTGAAACGAGCAGCTCAACCAACATGATCAATTACTGAGTTGGGTTTAACGCCGCTTCCAA